TCCAATCCGCAGGTTTGCATCTAGCCACTACACCACAGATGTGCCCTATCTGTTACAGTAATGATAAATAAATATTACATAAAATGGCTCTGGTACAGCAAACAAATGCAAGCAGATGTTTCTATCAGAGTTTTTGGCAGAGAATTACCTGGGAACTGAAGTAAGTGAGAAAGGGAACTGCCTACCCCCACCTCATATGCCTGAGAGAGAGAGAGAGAGAGAGAGAGAGAGAGAGAGAGAGAGAGAGAGAGAGAGAGAGAGAGAGAGAGAGAGAGAGAGAGAGAGAGAGAGAGAGAGAGAGAGAGAGAGAGAGAGAGATAGCCTAACACTGCATATCCTAACGGCAGTATCTACTAAAAACTGCCTTCACCAGAGCCTGAAGGTTTAATTTTATCTCTGTGTTTGGACTGTCGTTTTATCTCCCTCTCAACAGTCTTGACGTTCTCAAGTGCTCATGCGCTAATGTGTAAAGTGTCTTTCAAATGACCCTTCAGACGGACAAAATATTCCACTGGAGACGTAACTACAATATGAAAATTGCTAAATCATATTTTTTGTTTCACCACCTGCATGAAGAGATAATTTTAGCAGATATAGGTGTTTAAGAATGTTTTTACAATTATTTGGTAATTCCAAGGGGAGAAGATATGGCAAAAGTGGAAGTTGACGATACACATTAGACAAAAATGGAAATTGATCTGATAATCTGGTAATCTGGTCATCTTAGGTTCAGCTTCATAGGAAATGGGTCACCCCATCTTTGCTCCACTCCTGTGGCAACGAAAAACATACAGAATGTTTATCACGGTCCCTTGTGGAAAGATTGACAGACTGCTGTCTCCGCATATGCAATAGCATACACACGCATTAAAAGCATACGGTAGCCATCCTAAGTGCTAACACAGACAGTCCAGCATAAGAAATGAAGTTTATCATGGATGGTAGCAGAAGTCACCAACAGATCAGCAGTTGCACACGTGATCAAGTTTAATCACATAATGGCACCACCAATATTGCGACAACAGGCATGGTGCCATTCTCTGAATCAACAATTCACACCATTATGTTGGCCACAGTAGAAAAACATTCCAAATAAAATCAGCAGCTCACAGTGTCACACCATGCACTCAACTCAGAAGCTGGATAATGAAACTATATCCTTCCTGTCTACCAATGGAGCAAAAATGCAACGGCCACTGTCTGGCAAAAACAAAAAATTTGCCACGGCTCAAAACAGTGGCCGTGCCTAGCGTCCATTTTGACAGGAAGTTGATGATGCACATATGTCAAAAGTGGAAGTTGATGGTGTTGATAATACAGATTCTTGTTCATGCTACCTAATTTGTGTACTGTGCTGAGTTTCTCCATCTATAGTGTTTAGGAACAAAACTGGAGAGCTTATGGAGTCAGCTGTGTGCAATGAGTTTGATCTTGTGCAAACCACATATTGTAGTCTTGGCTATTGCTACTAGCTGGAGACAAAGAAGAGGTAAGTGTATAACCTACATACTAATCTAGTGCTTTCTTATCCTGCTGCTGCTCCAGCATGAAATGATCTTTGACCTACTTACTGAAAGTTCTGTGAATAGTTAACATGTAAACAGTTTCAGCAGTCATGTGGCACTGCCAGCCTTGGCGAAGGCAGCACCAGTGTTTACTGCCTGATATAAATTTGGCCGTAGTTTATCTGTTGGTAGATGTAACTGACAGAATATCTAATGCAGAAATTATAACAAGAATCACTATGGCAAAGGTAGCATTTAGCAAGATGCAAAAGATCCTCACTAACAAGAAGATGCCACTTGCCGTGAGAAAAAGAGTGTTAAAGTATTATGTAGAATTTGTGTTGTTATATGCATGTGAAACATGGACAGTAAGCAGACAGGCTGAAAAACATTTACTTACGACAGGGATGTGGTTTCTGAGAAGAAATTCCCTACCAAATCTGGCAGCCCCCAAGATGGGGTGAAAAAAGCAGAAAAGAATAGAAGAATCCGTTGCAGTCTGATGTAGATTCCTCTATTTCTTCCTCATATTAATCTTCCCTATCTCTAATATTTAATTTCTCTTACTATCTGTGTTGTCTTTCCCAGTTCATTCGCAATTTTAGCATTCAGTTAGCCAGCTCTGGAGAGTTTCCTAAAGGAGAGGGGGTGAGGCAATGATGCAGATTCCTTGAGGCTTGCATTGTTTTTCTTCTAGAAGAGAGCTTCATTTCTTCTGAGTTTTTGGAATAATAAAATATCATTACCGAAAGAAAACATGGGCTGGCCAGTACATAAATATAATTTCAGGGATAAGACATATTGTGTGGAGAAATAGCTAGCGTCACATCACAGAGGCAATGCAGAAACAACATTTCAGGGATAAGACATATTGTGTGGAGAAATAGCTAGCGTCACATCACAGAGGCAATGCAGAAACAACATTTCAAGGATAAGACATATTGTGTGGAGAAATAGCTAGCGTCACATCACAGAGGCAATGCAGAAACAACATTTCAGGGATAAGACATATTGTGTGGAGAAATAGCTAGCGTCACATCACAGAGGCAATGCAGAAACAACATTTCAAGGATAAGACATATTGTGTGGAGAAATAGCTAGCGTCACATCACAGAGGCAATGCAGAAACAACATTTCAGGGATAAGACATATTGTGAGGAGAAATAGCTAGCGTCACATCACAGAGGCAATGCAGAAACAACATTTCAGGGATAAGACATATTGTGTGGAGAAATAGCTAGCGTCACATCACAGAGGCAATGCAGAAACAACATTTCAGGGATAAGACATATTGTGTGGAGAAATAGCTAGCGTCACATCACAAAGGCAATGCAGAAACAACATTTCAGGGATAAGACATATTATGTGGAGAAATAGCTAGCGTCACATCACAGAGGCAATGCAGAAACAACATTTCAGGGATAAGACATATTGTGTGGAGAAATAGCTAGCGTCACATCACAGAGGCAATGCAGAAACAACATTTCAGGGATAAGACATATTGTGTGGAGAAATAGCTAGCGTCACATCACAGAGGCAATGCAGAAACAACATTTCAGGGATAAGACATATTGTGTGGAGAAATAGCTAGCGTCACATCACAGAGGCAATGCAGAAACAACGTTTCAGGGATAAGAAATATTGTGTGGAGAAATAGCTAGCGTCACATCACAGAGGCAATGCAGAAACAACATTTCAGGGATAAGACATATTGTGTGGAGAAATAGCTAGCGTCACATCACAAAGGCAATGCAGAAACAACATTTCAGGAAAAGACATATTGTGTGGAGAAATAGCTAGCGTCACATCACAGAGGCAATGCAGAAACAATATTTTAAGGATAAGACATATTGTGTGGAGAAATAGCTAGCGTCACATCACAGAGGCAATGCAGAAACAACATTTCAGGGATAAGACATATTGTGTGGAGAAATAGCTAGCGTCACATCACAGAGGCAATGCAGAAACAACATTTCAAGGATAAGACATATTGTGTGGAGAAATAGCTAGCGTCACATCACAGAGGCAATGCAGAAACAACATTTCAGGGATAAGACATATTGTGTGGAGAAATAGCTAGCGTCACATCACAGAGGCAATGCAGAAACAACATTTCAGGGATGGTATATACTATGAGGAGAAAGAGCTAATGTGATAAAGATTAGCTTGAAACATATTTTCAGAAATGATACTCTTTCTGTAGAGAAGCAGCTGACATCAAAGAGGCTAATCTAAAACATCAATTGAGGTTTCTTTTGTGCTGCACTGTCTTCTGCAGATCAGGATGGGGGGGGGGGGGTGCAGTTTTGTGTAGAGGTAAACATCTGAGGTTATGTTGTCCAGCCATAAAATATACTTTTCTAAGCTATATTTGATAATTTCAGTGATGGTCTAAATCTCAGTGAGAAGCAGCCAACATCATTTACATTTTAAGCTAAAACATAATTTCAGTCTTTTTTGCCTGTCCACTGTACTATCTTCAGATCATATAACACAGTTTTCTGTACAGTCTTTTCTTTTTCTTCACGTTCACCAGCTGAGAACTCCGGTGGACCATTCTGGTTGTTCATCCACTTCTGGACTTTAGACTTGTTCCAGAACCTGAGTGTTGCATGCGCATCAATTTTACAGATCTGACTTATCTGTATGCAGACTGTTGGCTATTTGCTTCTCAGGCAGATGCACTCTTCTTCTTCTTCTTCTTCTTCTTCGCGTTCACAAGCTGTAAACTCTGGCGGAAAATGTTGGCTGTTTGTCTACTTCTGGACTGCAGTCCTGTTCCAGAACCTGAGTGTTGCTTGTGTATCCGTTTGACAAATCTGACTAATTTGTATACAGACTGTTGGTTCCTTGTGGCAGATGCACTCCGACTTAGAAGGAAGCTCCCAATTAGTCGACTCTTATGACATGCTTTTGGGTAGGCAGTGGGTCTATTCTTGATTACCCTATAATAGGGCCCCAGAACCCACACGGGAAAGATGCTCTCTGACTTTGAAGGAAACCCCCAATCAGTTGACTCTTACAACATGCTTGCTGGGTAGGCAGTGGGTCTATTCTTGATTACCCTATAATAGGGCCCCAGAACCCACACGGGAAAGATGCTCTCTGACTTTGAAGGAAACCCCCAATCAGTTGACTGTTACAACATGCTTGCTGGGTAGGCAGTAGGTTTGTTCAATGGGCCCCGGAACCCACAGAGGGATCTGTAGAGTCTTATATCTACTGTAGTTTCCCCAGCCATAAAGTTGCCGTGTCTGATCTGTGTTTCATCATTTCAGTGATGGCCTACATTGTGTAGAGAAGCAGCTGATCTCTCAAGACTAGTCTCCAAGAATGGATGTCAGTAACGGATCAACCAGTTACAGTTTGAACAATGACAGAAAGCATTTAGTTATGCCACAGAAGCAAATTCCAGCTATCTACCCTCCCTGTGTTGTTCAGAGCATATATGATGTCGTCATCCAGGACACGAACAGTGTTTCTTCCAGTCATCCTATGGGAGATGCTATAGCTGAGAAAGATGTTGTGGCAGGTGACGCAGGAGGTGAAAAGAACAGCACAAAGACTGTACACACTAAAGGATTGTCTAGCTGTTTGTCAAGAGTTAGTTCTGGTATAGCTTATGTTTTGGAGACTGCATTTTTCAAGTGAGTTTAAATGCTGTAATTGTTGAGTGTCTTACTATATCCTTTGCTAGTGATTATTATCATCACAGCATTCTGGACAGACCCATCGCTGCTCCGATCACCCCCCTCATAAGCTCTACAAGCATAAAATGACTGATGACACCTGTTCTGTATTGATTAATTAATCATCTTGTTTCCTTGATGAAATATTCATTTCTGCAATATGCCGTCTTCTAGGAGATGATGTGTCTAATGGGTGATCTTAGCACACATTCTTAGGATGACATAACTGGGACAAGCCGACACTTCAAACTACAATACAGTTTATTGACATCTTATCACTTACATAGATTGTCCCGTCCATGTCCTAATTCACAGCTTACATGCACCACATTGTTCAGATGCCAACACGCTGACTTCTCACACATTCATCGACCAGAGTTCGGCGCCTTCAGTTCCATATCGCCGCATAGATGGATCTGGTCATTGCATCAAGCTTCATACCACTTGGCTTGGCTGGACTTGGCTTTGATGGATGTTGTTGTCGGTCTTCCTCTCGCAACAATCAGTTTCATGTTTTCATTCTCACAAACACTGACGGTCAACACATACTAACTTGACCAGACTGGGGTCTGACCTATACCCAGTGTTCGTTTCACGTGGCAACACGTGGTTGTTCTTGGGTTCCACGTGGCGACCTGTGGTCGTTCTCATTGGGCTCAACGTGATAACTCGTGGTCATACCCTATCTTGAAAACCTCGGTTAATCTGAGTATCTGGCTTCTCTCATGATTATTGTTAGCGTGGGGCTTTCCCCCCAACCTCCCTAATCAGGGTGAAAATATCCCCCATTACAATTTCTTGCTGCTCCAGGATGTATTCCCGTGTTGATAAGCCTAAACACAGATATGGATTCATGTCCTTTGCCATATTTCTCTTCGCTGTAAAGGCTGCTCGTGGTTATGATAAGATCACTTCAGTCCAGTACTAGACCAGCTGCTGTAGCAACCGCAGTGTCTGCAAGATAATTTACACGCTTGTTGCAGGACCCAGCACAGAGAAGAAAATTAGGCCAGCAATTCATAAAGTGCTTAGTAATACAGTCTATTTTTTTGTGTGCCTGAGGAACCCTTGCTGGATTTTCTTAAGTAGGTCACGCTTACCAGTGATGGCAGTAACAAAAGCAGTGACCCGGTTAAAGATGCAGATTTTTTCCCCTTGCGTGCTTTCTAGGTTGCTCCATGAGCATACTTCACCTTCTCTCCCCGAGAAAGCCATTTTTCTGGCTTTTATGGGTTTTGGTTAACTTGGTGTCTTTAGAAATTTCCCAGCTTGCCTGTATGATAGCTTTGGTGCTTGTTGCAACTGCATAGTGACATGGTGGGTATGATTATATATACCTCAATTTTTAATTTTTAAAAATTTGTTTAAAGATATTACTTGGGGTGAAAAAATTGTGGATTCACAGTGATACCATATTACTTTACATTGCTCTATGTGGCAAATTGACTACAACCACATTTAAATGCTCAAAAGGTTAATCAGTGAAGTTCTTTCTCAGTTTATCTCCCTTACCCCATGTGTCTTCTCTCTTCCTTCTCTTTCTTCTTCTCTTCCCCTTCTCCATCTCTTCTGTCCTCCTTCCCTTACCTCCTGTACCTTTCCTTCCTATTCCTTCCTTCATTCTGTCATCTTCTCTCCAATTTTTTCCCTCCTTTCTTTCTCTTCCTCCTCTCCTTGTCTTCCTCCATCAGTCTCTCTTTATGTTTACCTCTGATTCACCAGCTCCTTCCATCTATTTATGTACAGCGAAACTTCAGGACATGAATTTGATACATTCCATACGGCTGAGCTCATAAATTGAATACCTCAAATCCTGATAACATTTTTCCCCATTAAAATGAATGTAGTTATTAACTTTAACTTGTTCCGGCCCTCTAAAACTCAACCTGTTAGTCTCAAAATGACATTTTTCATTTCGTTAACAGCTTTCTTGTTTTTGCCAGCAGTGGAAAACAGGGGTTACTTCCGACCCTGATTCTGCTGTCCATCATCATCAAGTCCCTTGTCGACTTGCTTAAGCCCTCCTTCGGAAATATTAACGTGACCTAAACAATTTTAAAGTTATCAACGTGCTTTGGGGTAACACCAACTTTTCTCATTCCTGCAGTTCGCATCCTGGATTTCCGCTTATATTCCTAAGGCAAAAAACATATTTATGAGCTCTACCTCATGTCCTGAAAGACTCACATCCAGGAACACTCATGTCCTGAAAGACTCGTATCCAGGAACACTCATGTCTTGAATGACTCGTATCCAGGAACACTCATGTCCTGAAAGACTCGTGTCCAGGAACACTCATGTCCTGAAAGACTCGTGTCCAGGAACATTCATGTCCTGACAGACTCGTATCCAGGAACACTCATATCCTAAAAGACTTGTATCCAGGAACACTCATATCCTGAAAGACTCGTGTCCAGGAACACTCATGTCCTGAAAGACTCGTATCCAGGTATACTGATATCCTGAGGCTGCATTGTATTTTACCATCCCTTTTTTTTTCTGCTTTTCTAATCCCTCTCTTTCTCCCCTAGTCTTTCTACTGTTTCTCTTCTTCTTATTTTTCTAACATATTTTTTCTGCGTCTTTCTACTCTTTCTCAGGCTCTGAATGCCTTTCTGCTCTCTCTCCCTTTACTCTCACTCTTCCCTGTCTTTCTGGTCTCTGTCTCTGTCTTTCTGCGTCCTCTTCCCCTCTTTCTGCGCTGTCTCCCTCGTCTTTCTACTGCCTTTGTCTTTCTGCTGTCTCTATCTCTCTGCATGTCTTTCTGCTCTCTCTTTCCTTGTCCTTCAATCTCTTTCTGCATCTTTCTATTGTATCTCTCTGTATGTCTTTCTGCTCTCTCTTTCCTTGTCCTTCAATCTCTTTCTGCATCTTTCTATTGTATCTCTCTGTATGTCTTTCTGCTCTCTCTTTCCTTGTCCTTCAATCTCTTTCTGCATCTTTCTATTGTATCTCTCTGCATGTCTTTCTGCTCTCTCTTTCCTTGTCCTTCAATCTCTTTCTGCATCTTTCTATTGTATCTCTCTGCATGTCTTTCTGCTGCTCTCTCTTTCCTTGTCCTTCAATCTCTTTCTGCATCTTTCTATTGTATCTCTCTGCATGTCTTTCTGCTCTCTCTTTCCTTGTCCTTCAATCTCTTTCTGCATCTTTCTATTGTATCTCTCTGCATGTCTTTCTGCTCTCTCTTTCCTTGTCCTTCAATCTCTTTCTACATCTTTCTATTGTATCTCTCTGCATGTCTTTCTGCTCTCTCTTTCTTTGTCCTTCAATCTCTTTCTGCATCTTTCTATTGTATCTCTCTGTATGTCTTTCTGCTCTCTCTTTCCTTGTCCTTCAATCTCTTTCTGCATCTTTCTATTGTATCTCTCTGTATGTCTTTCTGCTCTCTCTTTCCTTGTCCTTCAATCTCTTTCTGCATCTTTCTATTGTATCTCTCTGTATGTCTTTCTGCTCTCTCTTTCCTTGCCTTCAATCTCTTTCTGCATCTTTCTATTGTATCTCTCTGCATGTCTTTCTGCTCTCTCTTTCCTTGTCCTTCAATCTCTTTCTGCACCTTTCTATTGTCTATTGTATCTCTCTGCTCTCTCTCTTTCCTTGTCCTTCAATCTCTTTCTGCATCTTTCTATTGTATCTCTCTGTATGTCTTTCTGCTCTCTCTTTCCTTGTCCTTCAATCTCTTTCTGCATCTTTCTATTGTATCTCTCTGTATGTCTTTCTGCTCTCTCATTCCTTGTCCTTCAATATCTTTCTGCATCTTTCTATTGTCTTTCTATTCTTGTGCTCTCTGCATGTATTTATGTCCCTGTCTTTCTACTGTGTCTCTCTCTCTCTCTCTCTCTCTCTCTCACTCTCAATGTGGATGCCTTTCTGTTTTCTCTCTCACCCCAGCCTGTTGTACTCTCATTTCCTGTCTTTTTCTCTATCTCTCTGCAGGTCTTTTTACTCTACCCCTATATTTCTGCTATCCACCCTTTTTCTACCCCCGTCTACTTTTCCTTTATTTTGCTACTTTCTGTCTGTCTCTCCTTGTTTTTCTACTTTGTGTGCGTCTCTGTCTGTGTCTCTCTACATATCTTTCTAATCCCGCTGTCTCTCAGTCTTCACAAAAACATCCCCAAACACTTTAATGTGATCCCCGTGTTATCACAATTCTGAGATTTCTAGTTGCTGACTTTGTCACAGCTCTTCAGATAAGAAGGAGCACTTTTGACTCTCTCAGTAGCTTTACTTGAAGTATGTGGCAGTAATCTCCTTTAGCAGTACCCTAGGCTGTCAACAAAATGAGAAATATGAGGATATTAATAAGAATCCGTTGATTGAAAAAAAGAACCAGCATCACAACACCTGAGTTGTTCCATAAGGGCTCTGTTCCCATAAGTGCTCTGTTCCCATCTTCAGCAGCCATCACAAGGTTCCAATTCAGATGGTACCAGTTTGAAAAGAGGAAACAATAACAACAGTGCCAGCGGCAAGAAGAAATAAGAAGAAACATCACAGAAACTATGACAGCCTGGCTGGAAGATGTCATTTAAAGAATCCAACAGGATTTGAACTCACGAACATCAGGCTGGCAGGCAAGCCTGCTACCACTGCTTAATCTCAGTTCCAGTTTTGTGTTGTGCTTATATGTATTAACTCTTTGAATACTAAACAGATTTTACTTTGACCCAATTATTGCTTTAAGCATTCAGTATTTGTGTCAATGGAGTTAAAATGATAGCACTAAGGGATAGGAACAGTTAAAATAAGAACTGGGGTGAAGTGTAACAAGGGTTTCATAAACCTAAATCATGGAATGGTGGCATCAAGAGCAGCCTCAAAGAAATAAAGGTCAACTTATGCAACACAAGATTCATCCTCTCCCCCAACACCTCGATGAGGGGTAACTGGAATAAGAAGCAGAAGAAAATATAAGAAGAAGAAGAAGAAGACGAAGAAGAAATGTTGGTTGAAACTAATAAACTCATTGTGGGTTACCTGGTAGTCACTGAATTAATGTTTTCTCCCTTCAGAGTTGGCCTGTTTGTGGGAGAGTTTCCCATTGTCACCATCCTCACTATGGTAATAATGTGTGGGCTGTGTGGGCTCGGCATGAAAACTTTTCATGAGACGGAGGAGCAGGAAAAACTGTGGGTACCTCAGACATCTCGACTGATCCCTGAGAAGGCTTGGGTTGACAAGACATTCCCACAGGAGACTCGTTTTGTTTCATTTCTTGCTGCCCAGCCAGAGGGCAATATTTTAAGTCCGGATTCTCTCAATGCTGTAAGTGCTGTGCATTTTTGTCTGTGAATTACAGATAGTTAGAAGATTTTGAGGTTGGCCTCTACTACAGTATAAAGATAAGTGCAAGCAGGGTATGAATGATACAGGTATTGAGGTGGATTCATGGCAACAAAATGCTTTAGACCCTGTTGCTTCTTCTTCTTCTTAAAGTCCATGCCGTGTGGCGTTGGTAGTCATGTCTATCCACAACCTTCTGTCTCGGGTACTTCAGGTCAACTTTGATGCAGTGATCCTCCATGCCATGATTTCACACTGTCCAGCAACTTTTCATCTGGTCTCCCTCTGCCTCTCTTCCCCTTCAACTTTCCTATTCTTATTATATACTCAAGTTTTCTCCTTCTCATGATATGACTAAAGAATGTTCTCTCTTTGTGAGTCAGTTTCTTTCAAGACATCTTCATTATTATTTTTATCTGTCCAGGGTATTTTCATCATTCATTGCATGGAGGGAGAAATCAGGAAAAAAATGGAATTAAGGGAGAATTGATTGTACAATGGTTGAGAGCTAAGCGTCTTAGAAGCACACTACTATATTTTGTAAAAAAATCTAGTCATTTTGTGAATCAAACCAGGTTTGCTCAAGTTAGAGGCAGACACTACTGTACCCTATAATGCATTGGACACTGAGCCCTTTATATCTTTAAACTCAGTTGTGCTTTCTGACTGTCTGCTGTTTTATATTTAGTCTCTTTATATTTCTGTATGGTCTTGAGGTATGGTGTCTGCCTCGAGTGCTGGAGGTCCTAGGTTCAAGCCCCGGTGAAGGCTGGGATTTTATTACGTGAACTTCTAGTAATCTCCCATGGTCTCTGAGTAGTAAGATCAGTTGCCCATGTGTATGGTTGTGTACGTAAAAAATCCCTTGGCAGTTGGAAATTGAAAAGAGTAGCCTAATGGATCTGCCCGGACAAAATTTGGAGTTCAAATCTACCCAAAGTATTTCATCATCCTCGCCTGTGCTATGGAGTTCGTGCACTGGACTTAGATTCTTCAGACTCAGGCTTGAGACAGAAGTAGAACGGAGCATTTATGGGTTACTACCCTTGTGCCATGATGTTTATCTGTCATCTAAACCTAAACCTATATTTCTCTTATTTTTAATGTGTGTTCACCAGCCCTAAACTCCAGCAGAAAGTCCTGGTTTGTTTTTTTAATCCACTTCTAGACTGTGGTCTTGTTCCCAGATTTGTTTGTTACTTGGCACATCCTTTTTTACAGATCTGACTTATTTGTGTGCAGACTGTTTTTTGTTGTTGTTTTTTTGCCTTACAGGCCGAGGTGCTCAATCTCTGTTGATCCTGTCTACATTGCCAGGCTCCCGACTAGGAACTGTCTGTAGGATGATGGCATAGAGGTATAGTGAGGTCTTGTTAAACCCTGGCCCTGGTCCAGCACCGTGTGTGGTTTAGCCCCCTTCTGCTTCCCTCTTGGTGTTATTTTCCCACTTGTATTATTGTCTACCTCTTGCTTCCTTACCTTCAACTTTTCCCCTTGGTATTGTTTTTATAAAAGTTTTGACTGATTTCAGCTGATGGACTATTATATGGAGTCAGTCAACATACGTGTCAACGGCAGAAGTTTCATGGACATGTGTGTCAGGTAAATGATGAATGTTGAATGTTAATAAAAACATTACAGCATTTGGGACACTGTCTTAAGCACTCCATCCCCATCTTCAGCAGCAAGCACAGTGTTTCAATTCCAATGGCAGCAGTAATAGTCTGATTAAAGAGGTATGGCTGGGGACAGTGACTACAACGATTGTTTGTTTGTTTGTTTGTTTGTTTGTTTGTTTATACAACGAATCAACATCATGGCACAAGGGTGGTAACCCACAAGTGCTCCGTTCTTCTTCTAACTCTAGCATGAGTCCCAATAATCTCAGCTCTTTGCATGAACTCCACAGCACCGGCGAGGATCCTGAAATACTTTGGGTAGATTTTAAACTCCAAATTTTGCCCTGGCAGCTCCGTTAGGCTACTCTTTTTAATTTCTAACTGCCGAGGGATTTTTTAATACGTGCACAACAGTACACACGGATGTTTGATCTTAATACCCAGAGACTAGAGACCAGGGGAAATTACTAGAAGTCCACGTGAAAAACTCCCAGCCTTCACCAGGGATTGAACCTGGGACCTCCAGCACTTGATTCGGACACTATGCCTCTAAACCACTCAGCTCCCTGGACAGTCACTACAGTTTGTTTCTATATCACAAAATTTAGTAAGCAAAATATTAGTTAGTTAGTTAGTTAGTTAGTTAGTTAGTTAGTTAGTTAGTGAGTTAGTTAGTTAGTTAGTTAGTTAGTTAGTTAGTTAGTTAGTTAGTTAGTTAGTTAGTTAGTTAGTAGTGAGTTAGTTAGTTAGTGAGTGAGTTAGTTAGTGAGTGAGTGAGTGAGTTAGTTAGTTAGTGAGTGAGTGAGTGAGTTAGTTAGTTAGTTAGTTAGTGAGTGAGTTAGTTAGTTAGTTAGTGAGTGAGTGAGTGAGTGAGTTAGTTAGTTAGTTAGTTAGTTAGTTAGTTAGCTAGCTAGCTAGCTAGCTAGTTAGTTAGTTAGCTAGTTAGTTAGTTAGTTAGTTAGTTAGTTAGTCAGCTAGTTAGTTAGTTAGTTAGTGAGTTAGTTAGTGAGTGAGTTAGTTAGTGAGTGAGTTAGTTAGTTAGTTAGTTAGTTGGGTTATCTTCATTGCACTCCGGACATGTCCATATGTGCTCAGATCCTCCTCTCAGTATGAACCCCAACGTCCGATGGCTAATAGTACCAGTTCTATGTTGATTCACAAGTCTTCTGGCGTGTCTGGTGTGCATCTCGTTTTTTGCTGTGCCGATCTTAATTCCCAAGTCTGCCATCAAAATATAAAGCAAAATATAAATGACGGCAGCCAGAGAGTAGTATGTCATGATCTTAAAACCCAGGCCGCACAAACTCGGGTGGATCAGTCATAGTTATGATGGTTTTGACATGTATGCAGAATAATAGAGAATCCGCCACCACCTCAGGCATGGGAATGGCAGAAAGCTGGCATGGAACAAGAAGAAAACTGCTGGCAGAGAAATCTGGCTATCTTTCTGGCACACCTCTACACACCAGGGTTGAACAGGGTCGACTTAGAAAAATGAAGTAAAAATAAAATTCCCTTTTTCATGTCAGTGTCACATCAGATATATGATTCTGGACATGTTTTTATAGGTCAGTTGGCACTCAGTGGCTGATGGGGTCAGTATCACACTGGCTGCCTTTACTCTCCCTGGATTTTCCTGGTACCCATTTAAACTAGGTTGACTTACGAGCCGAGATCACATTTTGTTAAAATCTGTCCAGTGCAGGTTCAACCTCAAGAACTTCGGGTCAGTAAACAAGTGTCTAGCCACTGTTCTCCTATGACTGCCACAAAATATTAGACATCATAGAAATGAGAAAAAGACTTATATCAATAAGTATATATATAATTATATCTCCCCCCCCCCCCCCCCCCCCCAAACCTTTTCAGTAAAGATTGCAGCAACTGAGATATTACTAATAGTAAATGAATGACTTATTAAAAAAAAAAACATGCACACACGCATGGATGTGATCACACATCTCCCTCCCCAATGCAAATTACAAAAATTTAGACATAAGTAAAAGTAAGTGTACAACTCATATCCATATTTGAACCCCCCTTTTCCCCCTTTTTCATGCAGACTAAAAAATGTAGACATAAGTAAAAGTAAGCAAAAGACATATCAGTGTTTAAATATACACACGGAGAAAAAGTTGTGTGATAGATATGTGAATGTTATATTTCAGAGTTGGTCCATTCTGTTATGTGTCGTGTCTGCTAGAGCTGTGGCAGTACAATGAAACCATCATTCGTTCTCTGACAGCCTTGGACATAATAACGATGGTTAATAGAACTGTTGTCAGGTAGGTATGTGTTGTTGTTTACTGGATCTTTCACTTGTGTGTCTGCGCTGTTTGAAATGATTGCTTACATGATTTCTTGTGTCTTCTTTGTTTAGTTGTTATTTATATATTTTCTTGTTTCCTTGTTTAAAATTGTTAATTGTCTGTGGTTTTTAAAAAAATCTTCCTTTCTTTCAGTTGTTTGTGTTTTTCATCTTCTTTGTTATCAATTATTGTTCACATATGTTGCCTGCTTTCCTTATGTAAAGTTGTTGATTTATAATTTTGTTTTGTTTCATAATTGTTTACAATTAATAATTATACATGTTTCTTTCATCTGTTGGCGTCTGTGGCTTAGGCGTTGTGAACCCGCCGGGGTGCCAGGTTTGATCTCAGCTTCAGACAATTTGTTTTGCATTAGTTTTGACTTTGGTACCGAAAGCTGAGCATTCACTAAGCAGTGGCAAACTACCGAAAGTTAAATATCCCTTAAAAAAATCACAACAGCCAAAAAATGCTAGGTTGGGTTATGCAACGTCCTGTAAAGGCTATACAAATAACTAACTTCTTTTGTCTTCCTTGTTTCAAATTGTTTATTACACATTTCTTTTTTCTTCCTTCTTTAAAACTGTTGCTTATATGTGTGTCTGGTCTTGTTTATAATGCTTGTCTACCTGTATTTTTTGTGTCTTCCTAGTTAAAAATGGTTGATGTTTGCCTGTGTTTCTTGTGTCTTCCTAGTTAAAAATAGTTGATGTTTGCCTGTGTTTCTTGTGTCTTCCTAGTTAAAAATGGTTGATGTTTGCCTGTGTTTCTTGTGTCTTCCTAGTTAAAAATGGTTGATGTTTGCCTGTGTTTCTTGTATCTTCCTAGTTAAAAATAGTTGATGTCTACCTGTATTTTTTGTGTCTTCCTAGTTAAAAATGGTTGATGTTTGTCTGTGTTTCTTGTGTCTTCCTAGTTAAAAATGGTTGATGTTTGCCTGTGTTTCTATTGTCTTGCTAGTTAAAAATGGTTGATGTTTGCCTGTGTTTCTTGTGTCTTCCTAGTTAAAAATGGTTGATGTTTGCCTGTGTTTCTATTGTCTTCCTAGTTAAAAATGGTTGATGTTTGCCTGTGTTTCTTGTGTCTTCCTAGTTAAAAATGGTTGATGTTTGCCTGTGTTTCTATTGTCTTCCTAGTTAAAAATGGTTGATGTTTGCTTGTGTTTCTTGTGTCTTCTTAGTTAAAAATGGTTGATGTTTGCTTGTGTTTCTTGAGTCTTCCTAGTTAAAAATGGTTGATGTTTGCCTGTGTTTCTTGTGTCTTCCTAGTTAAAAATGGTTGATGTTTGCCTGTGTTTCTTGTGTCTTCCTAGTTAAAAATGGTTGATGTTTGCCTGTGTTTCTTGTGTCTTCCTAGTTAAAAATGGTTGATGTTTGCCTGTGTTTCTTGTGTCTTCCTAGTTAAAAATGGTTGATGTTTGCCTGTGTTTCTATTGTCTTCCTAGTTAAAAATGGTTGATGTTTGCCTGTGTTTCTTGTGTCTTCCTAGTTAAAAATGGTTGATGTTTGCCTGTGTTTCTTGTGTCTTCCTAGTTAAAAATGGTTGATGTTTGCCTGTGTTTCTATTGTCTTCCTAGTTAAAAATGGTTGATGTTTGCCTGTGTTTCTTGTGTCTTCCTAGTTAAAAATGGTTGATGTTTGCCTGTGTTTCTTGTGTCTTCCTAGTTAAAAATGGTTGATGTTTGCCTGTGTTTCTTGTGTCTTCCTAGTTAAAAATGGTTGATGTTTGCCTGTGTTTCTATTGTCTTCCTAGTTAAAAATGGTTGATGTTTGCCTGTGTTTCTATTGTCTTCCTAGTTAAAAATGGTTGATGTTTGCCTGTGTTTCTTGTGTCTTCCTAGTTAAAAATGGTTTATGTTTGCTTGTGTTTCTTGAGTCTTCCTAGTTAAAAATGGTTGATGTTTGCCTGTGTTTCTTGTGTCTTCCTAGTTAAAAATGGTTGATGTTTGCCTGTGTTTCTTGTGTCTTCCTAGTTAAAAATGGTTGATGTTTGCCTGTGTTTCCATTGTCTTCCTAGTTAAAAATGGTTGATGTTTGCCTGTGTTTCTATTGTCTTCCTAGTTAAAAATGGTTGATGTTTGCCTGTGTTTCTTGTGTCTTCCTAGTTAAAAATGGTTGATGTTTGCTTGTGTTTCTTGAGTCTTCCTAGTTAAAAATGGTTGATGTTTGCCTGTGTTTCTTGTGTCTTCCTAGTTAAAAATGGTTGATGTTTACCTGTGTTTCTTGTGTCTTCCTAGTTAAAAATGGTTGATGTTTGCCTATGTTTCGTGTGTCTTCCTAGTTAAAAATGGTTGATGTTTGCCTGTGTTTCTATTGTCTTCCTAGTTAAAAATGGTTGATGTTTGTCTGTGTTTCTTGTGTCTTCCTAGTTAAAAATGGTTGATGTTTGTCTGTGTTTCTAAAGCTCAGTGTCTGGAGTTGATGTCCAAACACTTCTTGGTGGGGACCTCTTCTACAATGATCAGGGTATGTTGACTGCTGCAGCGGCTACTTACATCACTTGGGTATTGAAGAAAGAATCAGATGTGAGTGTTTATAGTTTGTGTGTGTATGCCAGAACGTACCTTCTTCAAATGTGTATTAACAAGGCTCGTTTTATGTCCTAAATTCTGGCTCTTTTTCTTGTTTTCCCCTCTCCTTCTATCTGTTTATTTAAACTCTAGTGCAAAAGAGTTGTGTAATCCTCTCCATCTTATCTTGTATCTCCAAGAGACCCACCAACTGTCACCACATTGTGTTTAAACTTGTTAATGACAGATTCGATTTTCTAGTTGTCTTTGGTAACAGGTAGTTCAGGTCTTACCCCAACCATCTTAGTAGCTTCTTATGACATACATGGTAGAATACTGTGGTTTTCTTCTTTACTTTTCTCATGGACCTCAATAACACAGTCTTATTGTTCTACTTTGTATCCCCCAATGAAATGTATACCCTCAGCCAACTCATGCCAAGTCGACCTATCTTTTGCTATCATATGAAAGTTACCTCCATGCCCCCCCCCCCCACCTCTAATTCTTTTTAAGCTCACAGTCCAGTTCCTTTCTCTATGATTTTTGTTTGGGTTGTCCTGTTATTTCTAGGCCTATAAGGTTGTTTTTTTTTCAATGTAAAGACATTCTAGTTATATTGTTCTCAGGTTTTCTCCGTGTGTCCTATCCAGTGCCAGCATCTTTTATTCACCTCTTGATTCACTGGAAGTGGTTTTTTTTCTCTCTTAAAACTCCACATTTGTGATTCTATCATTCCGTTTAATTCCCTCTTTTCAGTGCTGGCACCAGTTAGTGAAGGTTTATAATTTATTTGTAATTGTTCTAGTTGTTAACTCAGTTTTGTCTCCGTACAGTAGTATTGATTTGATATCACAATGTCATTTCATAAATTAAAAGTACAGATTTGATAACATAAAGTCATTTCATAAATTAAAAGTACAGATTTGATAACATAATGTCATTTCATAAATTAAAAGTACAGGTTTGATAACATAATGTTATTTCATTAATTAAAAGTACAATTTTGATGACACAGTGTCATTTCATAAATGCAACACTTGTTTCTTGATAAGTCTGCTTTTCAATATTCAGAATTCAGATGCAGCAGAGTTTGAGAGGGTTATGATTGTCAAAGCATTGGGAGGCCACAAGAATATCTCTGGCACTTACGTCTATGCTTCTCGCAGGTACCTACTCCACAGTGTCAAATTTTGCTTTTTTATTTGTTGTTGTTGTTGTTGTTGTTGTTGTTGTTGTAAATCTAAACATGAAAGGTCAGGGAAACACATAGAGCTTTTAAGTAATTAAAGAATAAGAAATTAAATATTTATTAATTAGCAACAACATTGCAGATTGTAGAAATATTTTTCCTTCTTTGTTTTTTGTTGTTGTTGTTGCTTGTAATCTTCCAGTTTTTTTCCTCCATAATTTGTTAGATAGATTTTGCAGCAACAGTTTTTAACATGATGAGGTAAGTCTCATGCCAACCTTCCTAGCTGTCCTGTTATGTCATGCATGGTAGATTACAGTGCAGCTGTTTTTTATTTCCAATATTAATGGTAGCAAATGCATTGAAGATAGATTAGATAACAAAGAAAGAGGGCTAAAGATAAGAAACAAATAAAGCTCAAATGAGCCAATACAACTGTTCAAAATATAAGCCTAGGCTTGCATTTTTGGCCATTGTCATCAGGAATGAAATCAGAATCTCAAAGGTTCTGTACCCGGTATAAGGTAGAGGCTCTATCAGAGGACCAAGCAGACGTGAATGCTGTCTCAGTCCAGTTGCTTATTTCACAGACTTAACTGGAGGTAAGACAACAGTCGTGTCATGATGTTGGGCATTGATTTAAGCAGGCAGTCACTAGATGTGAGGATAAGTCGTCTCCTTGTGGGATGAAATTTTTTGTTATTTTGAAGCCCCACTTCGGAGCTCTAAATATAGCCAGGCCATAAATATGGCCTAACAGATAAACGGGCTTTCCGGGACCTCTTCATGAATGATCATCATCCGCATGGTGGCACTTTGTGTCACCAGGTGTTTATCGTTTGTGTATTGTCTTGGTGGGGTACAACTTACCTACCTACCTAGATGTGAGGGCTTCGCTAGAGAAAAAATACGACTAGTGAGCCAACACTGAACTAAGGTGATTAACCATTACATTCTGGAAGAAAATTCTGAAGATATCTGAGCATTAATGATCTTGTCATTTATATAATAACAATATTCTGTTTTTGATAAAATTTTGATAAATAATTAGAGAAAGCCCTTTTGGCTGACTAACATGGGGAACATATTTCAAATGCAATAACGAAGAGAAGAAACAAACATTCTACAGCTAAATCAGGTTTATCTAAGTGATTCTAAAATGTAATATCCTTTTTATAATCTTAGAATGACAAGGCATGTAGCACTGGCACTTGACATATGCCCAGCTAGTTAACACATTGATGTGTAATATGTAAAAGTCATTGAAACTTGACATTTGCCCAACCAGCTATGCATTGATTTGTGTTTTCTTGCAGCTTTGATGATGAAGGGTACGGTGCCATCAACAGCGACTACAAACTGCTCTTTGCAGGCTTCAGTATTGTGTTTTTATTCATCTTACTGTCCCTGGGCAAGTTCAACTTGATGGAGCAGAAGGTGGGTACCAGTCTTTGTGTCATGTTGTTTAGTCTGATGTTGTCATGGGACAAGTTAACTTGATAGAACAGAAGGTGAGTACCAGTCTTTGTGTCATGTTGTTTAGTCTGATGTTGTCATGGGACAAGTTCAACTTGATAGAGCAGAAGGTGAGTACCAGTCTTTGTGTCAGGTTGTTTAGTCTGATGTTGTCATGGGACAAGTTCAGCATGATGGAGCAGAAGGTGGGTACCAGTCTTTGTGTCAGGTTGTTTAGTCTGATGTTGTCATGGGACAAGTTCAGCATGATGGAGCAGAAAGTGGGTACCAGTCTTTGTGTCAGGTTGTTTAGCTGTTAATTTGTTTGAGCAGCAGATGTGTACTAGTGGTTGATTACTTTTATGTTCTGTCATGTTGTTCAGTTTAATGCTGTCCCTGATGCAGGCTGTTCAGAGTGTTAACTAGTATAGAAAACACTAGTGACACCAGTTGAGCTGGTAACCAGATTTTAAGAAAAGAATCATGATCATGCTATTGACCCAACAGGCACATGATTCTAGGTCCATTTTTCTAGTTTAAAAAAAAAGCATTATTTTATGGAATTTTTTTTTAAATTAAACAGTATATTTGGCCTGTTACGAGTTAAAGTGGACAAAGAGTCACAAAGCAGGCACTGAAAAGGAAAACAAATGAATCAAAGAAGAAAAGATATCCACTCCAGGAGTTATTACAAACATCATGAGAGCGGACAGCGGTATTGGACTGTATTTCATTGACAATATCCAAAGTATTGCATTGGATAAAATGGTATGAAGGATATTATTTATGTTTCATTATTGTTATTTGTATAGAGCCGAGTTAAACAGTTACAGAATAATCTGTGTCCGCAGATCTACCTGTCTTTGGCTGGAATGGCTTGTGTAGGACTAGCAATCTTGGCTGCTTATGGCTTGGCGACAGGCTTTGGTGTCATGTACAGTCCCATTCAGTCTATAATGCCATTCCTTCTGCTCGGTGAGTGTGTTACTTGTTGACCTCTACTGGCACTTGCTTGTTTCTAATGACCGTTCATTTGAAACCCGTTCCAATGGCATTATAAGAGAAACATGATAGAAACATCAAGGGGTATGGCAAAATTAAACAAAGCATTAGTTTTCTGTGAATTAAATCCATGAGTTGGTCAGAAACAGTCAATGTAGTCATTCAGGCAATCATCCCATTGCTTCCATAGGTAGCGATTGCCATGTGGAAAAATAAAACGTTCGTTGCTTACTGAACCAATTATTTACTGCTCCTTTTTTTGGTGGTCGGTCAATATCCGTGGTACCCACTGTGAACACACCTTCCAGTATTGCAGTTTCTTATGACAACCTTTTGAACTATCCAGATTGACACATCAGATTCTTTTGCTAGCGAACAAATGCTTCAACAACGGTTCACTTATATTAGTGGCGATGTTTTTTCTCCTGTTACATCAATATGCACTTGACCCAGCTATGGAAGATCTGTCATGAACTCACATTTGTTCCAAAACTTTTCTGTCCGGTCTGTCACTTTTATCTTTCACACAAATTTGTTACTGTACAGTTCCTGATTTCTTTGATAAATATCCACTGGTCGACGTCCGTCAAATGAAAGCGACAGAAGCACCACTCTTTGAGCTTCTTTGGATAGATTTTGGATTAACCAAGATGTTTTCTACACAGTCAAAAACAGAACCTGTGCATTGTGGGGCCGTAAGCACATGATGTTTTTTTTTCATTGCTTAGTACTTAGTACGTGATTGTGACATAGTCATGTCTAGCACACATAGTTACTGTGGTATGGCACAAACAAATTTCAAATGAACATTCTTTATACTTTCTTCCTGTTGTCCTGCCTGGTCTTGCCTACTTTATTTTTCTTCCCTTCTTTCCCTCTTCCTCGACCACCTGCTCCCTTTCCTTACTTCCTTTGTTGCCTTTCCTTCCACCGTCCTTTCTTTCTTCCAACCTGCTTGAATTGCTTCACTCTCTCCTATTTTCTTTCTCTCATACTTTTTTGTCCTACCTCTCTCTCTTCATTTTCATCTTTGATTCTGTAACATTCCTTTTCACTTTATAAAGATAAAATATTGTCTCATTTGTGCGACGCAGGCATTGGTGTAGATGACATGTTTGTAATCATTGAAAGCTGGAAGAACCTCACTCCAGAGGAAGAGAAACTAAGTGTACCCAGCAAACTGGCTGTGACGTTGAGTAAAGCTGGGGTTTCCATCACTGTGACCTCCCTGACTGATGTTGTTGCTTTTGGAATAGGTGCCACTACAGTGAGTACTTTCTTTGATCCTGGAGGTACTTTTGTGAAGTTGTGGACTTCTTTTGTGAGTTTTTGAGCACATTTGTGAAATTTCTGAGGGTAGTGTTTATGTGAAGTTGGTGAGTACTTTTTATGAATTTGATGAGTGCTTTTGTAAAGTCAATGAGTGCTTTTGTAAAGTCAATGAGTGCTTTTGTAAAGTCAATGAGTACTTTTGTAAAGTTTTCTGAAGAGAAAATTAAATCAGTGAAAATTTATTAATGATTTAAAAACCATACTGAGGGGAAAATTGAAGGCAAGAGAGCAAGAGGAGACAGGGATACAAGTGGGAGGACAACAACAAGAGATGGATGAACCCCAGTCTGTGAGTACAGTCAAGATGAGGAACAGAGTGCTGGAGGTCTATTGTAATCAACCTTTATTGTGGAGATGGCACCTGATTGACTGATTTATGAATTCGATGAGTTCATTTATGGATTTGATTTGCAATTTTGTGAGAGTAATAAGTCTGCTGAGTACTTCTGTATAACTTTTGTTGCTAAATAAGCCAGAACCCACATTATTTCAGCTAAGAAACCCAGTAAGACCATCTAGGTCTTATACTGATGAAGAGAAACTCCGAACTGCACCTCCAAGTAGGGAAGGACAGGCAACACACATCTCTGTGGGAGATGCAGCTCTGGAGTCTGAACATCTACATGGATGTATGGACAAATCTGCAGCTGAGCAGAAAAGGACTGGCTTGTCCTAACAGTCAGAAATCTTCAGCTGGGCAGAGTTGTTGTTTTTAATCCAGCAAGGCATGAGCTTTACCCCTCTGGCCCAATGCCATGTAGTGGAATGTGCATGTTTTCACAAGCTGTTCTTTTCCTCCGTACAAGGTGTTCCACTTGTCTGGTCTTGGAGGGAGTAGCATTCTTCTAGTCTCGCTAAGTTTTGGGCACTCAAAGAGATGGTGTTCAACAGTTTTGTAGGGGTACTTACATAGCTGGCACTCTGGGGAGTGTTGTGGTTGTATTCTGTTTAGGTGTCCATTGAGTGGAGTATGTTGTGTTTTAAGTCTGAAGATGGTGGCCTGGTCCCTTCTTGTTAGATGGTTAATGCTGTCATTAGGATCAGGGCCAGCCATGCGTCTATAAACTTCTCTTCCAGTGTCTCATATGGCCCATCTGTTCAACCAAGTCTCTTTGTTTATAGCTCTTATAAGTGTTTTTGCTGTCTGCAGGGTTGTCACTGTAGGTGGTTGTTCTTATGTTGCTCCTTTCTCTGCCAATCTGTCAGCTCTGTCATTACCTGGTGTGCCGGAGTTGCCTGGAATCCACTGCATCACTATTCTGATGTTGTATGAAGTAATGAGCTGATCAGCATCCAGGATTATCTTGGCTATGTCAGTTCTGCAGCATTCACTGCCCTCCAGAGCTTGAAGGGCAGACATTGAATCTGTGAAGATGACAATATTTTGGGCCTTTGAAGGGTAAACATCCATTACAGTCTTTAGGTGGTATACTGCTGTTTCCAGCTAGGCAGAGTAGGCCTGGCTTGTCCTGACAGACAGAAATCTTCAGCTGAGCAAAGTAGAAGGCAAAGGGAAAATGCCACAGAAAGTTTTAGTTTTAGGAATCGGAAGATCAAGAGTCAGAGAATGATGTTAATGTTTGCTGAAGACATATTTGTCTGAAGAGAACACTAGTGCTAATGCTGTGAATGCCTTGTATAACCAAGAGTTAATATACTCAGCAGAGTTGATCCAGAACACAAGTGACTGAAATATGTGAGGAGACATAAACGACTGTGCCGTCCAGTATGGAATGAGTTACTGGGATGCATGGGTGCTGAATCACATGAGGTGGTACATGTACCAGCACCAGGGGTCCTACTGTTACAGACCAATCTTCACCTCTTCATGGTCATCCTAGACGCAGGTTCCCAGCCGGAGGACTGACCAGTGTCGACATGTTTGATGTTCCCTTCAAAGTCAGATGGTATCTGCTTTAAGAGGCAAGTAACCAACAGTCTGCACACAAATAAACCAGATCTGTAAAATGGATATGCACGCAACACTCAAGTCCTGGAACAAAACCATAAGTCCAGAAGTTGATGAACAACAAGGACTTGTCCACCAGAGTTTAAAGGTGGTGAACATGAAGGGGAAAAAAGCAGAAGTATGAGGTGATGAATAGAGGGGATTAATCTAGTAACTGGCAGCTGTGTTGGATCAAAAGAGATAAAACTACACCTGTGTTTGTGTCCATAACATATACCTTTTATATCATAAAACTACACCTGTGTTTGTGTCCATAACATATACCTTTTATCTCATAAAACTACACCTGTGTTTGTGTCCATAACATATACCTTTTATCTCCATCAACAGACAATCCCTGCCCTGAGTTCATTTTGCATCTACGCCACCCTGGGTATCTTCGTTCTGTATGTTCTGGTTTCAACCGTGTTTGCTGGGGTGCTTGCCCTTGATGAACGACGAAGACAAGCCCACAGAGATGCCTGCCTGTGTTGTTACAGACACAGTGATAACTACACACCCAACAGGTGCGGCAGTGGGAAATCGTTTCTGCAGACAGTTTTTGGCAGCTTATATGGGCCTTTCCTAACGAAGCTGCCAGTGAAGGTGAGACTTGTTCTGTGTTTGGCTGGTTATAGAATACAACGTCTCCTTGTCTTATGGCCTGTGTGACTTAAACCATCTGAACTGATGACCAACTAAAATAAATAAGTAAATAAAAATAGTAAATGAAGAAAGATTACATTAATAGGGTCAAAAAGTTCCCGGAACTGATGCCTAGAATGTATATAGATGTCTGAATACACTAACTATGCATACTTTGATTAGATTTTTATGTTCTATGTACGAGAGGTGGTAATAAAGTAATACTTTCTATTTTTAATGTATGTAAATATTGTATGGGCTAAAACGATGGCATGGAGGGATATCATCAAGAGAGCTGTTCCAGTCCACCAGGGATCGTGATCTGTGGAGACCCATGAGGGCCTACACCAGTTGGCAGGGCACATGATGATGATGAAATATTGTATCGGTGTCCAATTTGTAAATTTAGCGGATTCTGGAGAGGTGGTAAAAAAGTAATACTTTCTATTTTTAATGTATGTAAATATTGTATGGGCTAAAACGATGGCATGGAGGGATATCATCAAGAGAGCTGTTCCAGTTAACCAGGGATCGTGATCTGTGGAGACCCATGAGGGCCTACACCAGTTGGCAGGGCACATGATGATGATGAAATATTGTATCGGTGTCCAATTTGTAAATTTAGCGCATTCTGCAAACACTTTTCTGCACAGTGTGACATTACCCACCTGTTTCAGCAACAGGTGGCATCACAGTAACAGCTTAAAAATGGCTTCCAAAGACATTTGGATAAAACAAAATAATGTCATAGAATTTCTCAGTATTGAAGATGAGATCCCAATTCACATCCAGGAATGTTTGTAGAATGTTTGTAGAATGTAGAATGTTTGTAGAATGTAGAATGTTTGTAGAATGTTTGTAGAATGTTTGTAGAATGTTTGTAGAATGTTTGTAGAATGTTTGTAGAATGTTTGTAGAATGTTTGTAGAATGTTTTCATGTTGCTGCTAAAGAGGGGCGGGGGCTGACCAGCAGCACAAAGGTGAACACTGGTTAGGAGTGACACCCTGGCAAGGAAAGTATGTGAGGTGGGAAATCTGGCGAGATTTCAGGCAGACCATAGTGGGGCCGACATTCCCTAAAGAACCTGCTACATGATGATGATATTAATGACAGATACCATCAGTAATTATTGAATGTTGTTTCTTGTTTGTTTTTGCAGATCATAGTCATTGCAGTGACATTTTCTTTAGCAGCTTTGGGATGTTGGAGGTTTGTTCAGATGAAGCAGGATTTTGATCTGATAAACTACATACCAAGGACCTCATATGCTTATACGTATGCACGTACAAAACAGTCTTACTTTAATAGAGATGGAGTAGATGCCACCATTTACTGTAGTGAGTAAATTTACTGTCATTAATATAGTATACATGAAACATAGGAACATGGAACATAGGGCTTCAACAGTTATCTTTTGATAACATGTTAACTCTTTCAGTTCGAGACAGATGTTGCTTCAACACTTTCTAACTCAGAGGTTTTGTACTTTAGAGCAACAGTTTTCAAGTCTTATTGAACTATCTCAACAGTTTTTATACTTTAGAGCAACAGTAAATTTACTGTCATTAATATAGTATACATAAAACATAGGAACATGGAACATAGGGCTTCAACAGTTATCTTTTGATAACATGTTAACTCTTTCAGTTCGAGCCAGTTGTTGCTTCAACACTTTCTAACTCAGAGGTTTTGTACTTTAGAGCAACAGTTTTCAAGTCTTATTGAACTATCTCAACAGTTTTTATACTTTAGAGCAACAGTCTTCAAGTCTCAGTGAACTATCTCACAATTTTTATAGTTTAGAGCAACAGTCTTCAAGTCTCAGTGAACTATCTCACAATTTTTATACTTTAGAGCAACAGTCTTCAAGTCTCAGTGAACTATCTCACAATTTTTATACTTTAGAGCAACAGTCTTCAAGTCTCAGTGAACTATCTCACAGTTTTTATACTTTAGAGCAACAGTCTTCAAGTCTCAGTGAACTATCTCACAGTTTTTATAGTTTAGAGCAACAGTCTTCAAGTCTCAGTGAACTATCTCATAGTTTTTATACTTTAGAGCAACAGTCTTAGATATATATTTATGTATAGAGAGAGAGAGAGAGAAAAAGACTGACATTACATAAACTGTAGTATCACCTTCACCACACACAGTTTATGCAGTGACACTGCTAGTTTGGAACTGTTGCCACTGACTGACTGACCTCTCCTCTCTCCTGGCTACCATCTGAAGGTTTGACACCCTTGCTAGTCCAGTGTGGGTGGGTAGGATATTTGGGCATATGATGCTAGACTTGTGTAGACCAATCGGCACCCAGTGGGAGATGTGGTCAGCATCACACCAGCCACCTTTACTTCCCTGGACTTCCTGGTATCCATTTTAGACCACGCCAACCTGGGAGCCAAAGTGAGTTTTGACCCAAAAAATTTGACTTGATACATATTGCCACCCAAGAACTTCCTCAAATTTGTTACTGCCACTCCCAGGATGCATATTAGAGCCACTTAATGTTACCAGTTTGTCTGTTAGCATGTGTGTGTTATTTTTGGAGAAAGTTTCCATTAAAATTCTTGATTTAATTATAGGTAGTTTGAATTACTTCGAAGAGAGGGACCACTTGAAAGAAATGCATTCCAGAATCTCACAGAGCCACTTTGTCCAAAAGGGAACTATCAATTCTTGGTTTACAACTTTTACAGCCATAGCCCAGCAGTCAGGTTTGGCATTTTTGTAATACTTGTACCTGGCATAGTTTATATTATATTTCCTAATCTATACAATATTTTTTTTTGCCATGGAAGATCAGTTAATCAAAGTTCCAACTTCTGAGCACATGAGTCTCCCCATGGCTGCTCCGTTCTTGTGCCAATGAAAACCACTCAGAATATCCATCGCTGTCCTTTGTGAAAAACTTTGAAAACGTCTGGGCTGTATGCTTCAGTACTTCAAACTGCAGTCTGTAGTGTACCCATTGTATGGGCAGCAGTGTGGGGGCGTACTGTTCCATGTAGACTAGGATAAGTAAAGTAAAGTAAAGTTCCCTTTTCATGCCTTTCGGCGCATCGGGCATATGGGCAGAGCGTCCCATATTTTTACAGACCATCAGCACTCTGTGGGTAATGTGGTCAGCATTACGCCGGCTGTCTTTACTCTTCCAGGACAGCCCATCCTGGTACCCATTTTAGGCTGGGTCGACCTGCGACGTCCCCATACCACGACAAAAATCCACGCAGCCTGCAGTGGGTTTCGATAGCGATATGCTGGCTTACGAGTCGGACTCGCAACGCCTTGGCCACTGACGCCGCAGACTAGAATACAGTTGAGTAAAGTAAATAAAGGACCCTTTTCCATGCCTTTAGGCGAATAGGGCATATAGGGCTAGACCTATATTTTTATAGATTAACTGGCACAAGATGGGTGATGTGGTGAGTATAACGACAGCCACCTTTACTTCCCAGGACTGCACCTGGTACCCACTCAAGGCTGGGTCGACCTGGGAGCCAAGGCCATTTTTGAAAATAGTCCGGCTCCGCCAGGAGTGAACCCATGACCTTCCGATCCAGGGCGAGCATCTAGCCTCTCAGCCACGGCGACTCCCCTAGGATACAGTTGCCTTTACTTAATGACTTCCCCTCGTGAATAAAGGGCCCATTGTACGTCAGTGACACATCAGACATATGGTGCTCTAATATATGGGGCTCAGCATATTTTGATGATCAGCTGGCACTTGATGAGTATTTGCATCAACACACAAAGCAAAGCAAAAGAACAAGAACTGTGGAAAAGTAAGTATTTATTTTTTTGGTTCACTCCAGTGTTGCACCGGGTATATGGTGCTCGACTCATGTTTAAATAGACTAGTCGGCACTCTGTGGGTCATATGGTCTGCATTGTGCCATCTGCCTTTACATACCAGGACATTACCTGGTGACACCTTTAAAGTCAGGGGGCATCTGCCGGAGAGGCATGGAAGTAACAGTCAGCATACAAATAAGCCAGATCTGTAAAACAGCTGTGCACACAAAACTCTGGTCCCAGAACAAAACCAAAGTCCAGAAGTGGACAAACAACCAGGACTTCGTACTGCAGCTTGTAGCTGGTGAATGAAGAGAAGAAAAAGAAGAAGATTACCTGGTACCCATTTTAGGCTGGTTCGATCTGTCAATTCTGAAGAAATTACAGATTTGAACCCGAGACCTTGGACTGGCAGGTGAATATCTAGTGACTACGATACAGCAGTTCCAACCTTGACCTACTCTTGACTTCTATATGTTTTTTGAAGTAGTCGCATCTCATCACAGGCTGGAATATAACTTCAGAGACACAGTTTTACAGCAGGCTCTACAGTTTTCTACAGACTCCCACAGGGCAGAGATTTGCTTCCTTCATCAAGCTCAACTCTACCAGCGAGCCTGTCTCCATGCTGGTTAGTATCTTCTGTTGCTTCTGTTTTGTAATCACGGGCATAACTGCACTTCAGATGGACCTACAACACTTAGTCTCTCTCATAATATGATGACATAGTTGCCAGTTTGTACAGTTTAGTTATTGTTGTTACCTTTTCATTTTTCCAGGCGTTAATGTTATAATGTGTTACAGGACGACATGTGATTTACAGCCCATGGCAACGGGCACTCACAGAAGTACAAAAACCTGGTGCTTCTGTTTTGTGCCATGGCTATGCAAATGTCCCTCTTCTGGCTTGCTTACGAAAAGGAGGCTCGCTAGCAGCATTGCTTTAGGGTTTTCCTGCATAACCTTTTAGAATGACTGGTAACAAGCTTAGCTGCTAAAGCTATCACTTAGGTGAGGGTTTCCTTGTGGAAAATGGCTTAATTTTTAGAAATTAGAACATCAGAATTTACCGTTAGTTGCAGTGGTAACTGGTAACCGGGCCACGGGGTGGTGTTATGAAAGAGAACTTTCACAACTTCATGTCATATGGGAGTGAAATGTCAAAACTTTATGAAATATGAAAGTGAACTGTCACAACTTCATGCATTATGGAAATGAATTGCTACAACTTCATGCGATATGGGAGTGGTCTGTTACAAATTCATGTGATATGAGAGGGAACAATCACAACTTCTTGTGATATGAAAGTGAACTTGACAACTTCATGCAATATGGGAGTGGACTGTCACAATTTCATGTGTAATATGAGTGAACTGTCACAACTTCATGCGATATGGGAGTGAACTGTAACAAATTCATGTGATTTGAAAGTGAACTGTCACAACTTCATGTGATATAAGAGTAAACTGTCACAACTTCACTGTTTTGGAAGTTCACTATCATGTCTCCATAGGGATGTAGATTAAAAGTCACCTGTCATTGTTTCCTTCAGGCTTCTTACATCAACCTAAGACACACCCGTCAGCCATGTCTCATTGTTTCCTCCAGGCTTCTTACATCAACCTAAGACACACCCGTCAGCCATGTCTCATTGTTTCCTCCAGGCTTCTTACATCAACCTAAGACACACTCGCCAGCCATGTCTCATTGTTTCCTCCAGGCTTCTTACATCAACCTAAGACACACCCGCCAGCCATGTCTCATTGTTTCCTCCAGGCTTCTTACATCAACCTAAGACACACCCGTCAGCCATGTCTCATTGTTTCCTCTAGGCTTCTTACATCAACCTAAGACACACCCGTCAGCCATGTCTCATTGTTTCCTCCAGGCTTCTTACATCAACCTAAGACACACCCGCCAGCCATGTCTCATTGTTTCCTCCAGGCTTCTTACATCAACCTAAGACACACCCGTCAGCCATGTCTCATTGTTTCCTCCAGGCTTCTTACATCAACCTAAGACACACCCGTCAGCCATGTCTCATTGTTTCCTCCAGGCTTCTTACATCAACCTAAGACACACTCGCCAGCCATGTCTCATTGTTTCCTCCAGGCTTCTTACATCAACCTAAGACACACCCGCCAGCCATGTCTCATTGTTTCCTCCAGGCTTCTTACATCAACCTAAGACACACCCGTCAGCCATGTCTCATTGTTTCCTCTAGGCTTCTTACATCAACCTAAGACACACCCGTCAGCCATGTCTCATTGTTTCCTCCAGGCTTCTTACATCAACCTAAGACACACCCGTCAGGCATGTCTCATTGTTTCCTCCAGGCTTCTTACATCAACCTAAGACACACCCGCCAGCCATGTCTCATTGTTTCCTCCAGGCTTCTTACATCAACCTAAGACACACTCGCCAGCCAGACTCTGCACACGACGTCATGTCTATGGACAATATACGGGACATCATAGACACCTCCGGGTTGCCAAAGTTTGGAGGCAAGGACATGCCAGAGTATATGTGCTTTGCTTATTCTAGGGACTACATGACTTTTGAGACAAACAAGGTGAAGTGCTTGTATTATGCCAGAGCTAGGGTGAATGTATTGTTTTGCTTTCATGTGTGATTGTGTATGCAGTGTATTTAAATATGAGAATATGAATTTCAATAACTGAGTTAGCACAGTAATTAGCAAGCTTTTATGTTGGTCTGGTGATTGTAAATTTGGACTCATTCTTCCTCCTTCCACCGCTTCCTCTCTTTATATTGAGGATTAAAACAAAAAGAGGTCTCTGCTGTCAGTTTCATAAAGTATAGAGCAGTATTGAGTCATAAATCCTGACAGCCTTTTAACATTTGTTTTACATGTAAATTTTAATAGATGAAGAGGGGAGGAAGAAGAAGAAGAAGAAAAAGGAAGAAGAAGAGAAAGCACAAGGAGTAGGAGGTTGTGGATAATTTCTGTATTTTAGAAGTATCTGGAAGTAGTTTGAATGACTCCTATTAGTTGAGATTATTTTGACATTTCATCAAGACAAGTTGTTTAACTAATATTCGCCAGAGAGTTTCTGTGACTTCTATAAAAGAATATATATTTTTAAAAATTGACAACAGGTTCTGCAGGTGGAATTATATCGTAACTTGGGAATGTCCGCAGCTGCCGTGTTCCTGGTCACGCTGATCTTGATAGCCAACTTGTGGACAAGCCTGCTGGTTTTTGTCTGTGTTATATTTACAATAGTAAGTCTACGCCATCGGCATCTGTTGTGTTTGGTTATAGTTTGAGATGTCAAACCAATAAACTGCTCTTTTATGTCAGTGGAGTTTCATGTCCCTGCCCCTTTCCATTTTAGAAGGAAAAAGTTGACCACATTCAACTGGCTGCCAGAAGCATTTGGTTATATTTGTGGCCTGGTTTATTTGTGCCAAGTGTATTGGCTAAGATTGGGGTATGTGTGCAAGTTTTGATGACTTCATTTTGGGTAGTGAATTATGTAGTTTATTCTTCTGTCTTCTCCTCTTCTTCTTCACACTTCCTCTTTTACCACTTCAGGTGTCAAGGGAGATATAAGGTCCTGCTTCTTGCTCTCCACGTGCCTCCACCTTAGACGCATCGTGCTGTTATAAAATGTCTCTGATTTTTATCTTTCCATCTTGTTCTTGGTCTACATCAAGCTTGTTTCCCATCTCCTCTTTTGATGTATGCCTTGTATTGTATGGTGTCACAAGGCACTCTCTCTAAGTGGGTATACCATCTTATTTGCTTCTTATTCCTCTATATTGGTGTGGATTTTTGGTAGTGAATACAAACAAGGAGGGGCAATCAATTGGAGGCAGCAAAGATGTGTGTGTGTGGTTTTTTTTCTTCAAAACTTGCATCCCTGTGTGCCAACCACTCTTGTAAGAACAAACAGTAAAGATGAAAAATACCATAGACAGATAAGAAAACATGCACCAAAACTGAGAAAAGCTGAGAAACAGCCGTTTAGAAAGCAGCGGCAAACTACTACGTGTAAAATTACCTAGTAAAATCACAAAAAAACAAATGTAGGGAGTTGATTTGCAGTATCCTGTAATGGGTACAGAACTTACTGGGGTTTTTAGCAGTGATCCTTGATTTGGTCCTAGGTTGATGTGGGCGGAGCCCTGGAGATGTGGGGTGTCACCATAGACACAGCCAGCAGCATCCTGCTGACCCTGTCTGTTGGCCTGGCAGTCGACTACTCCGCTCATGTGGGCCACACTTTCATGACAGTCAGTGGATCTAAAAACGGTCGGTATGATAATGCTTGTGTTAGGTTGTCGACCCCTTGGATAGGCGTTATTGTTTTGTACCATTCTTTGTTGTGCCTCTTCAGTTAGTAGGTGTGGCTCATTAGTGGGTGTGGCTCATTAGTGGGTGTGGCTCATTAGTGGGTGTGACTCATTAGTGGGTGTGGTTCATTAGTGGGTGTGGTTCATTAGTGGGTGTGGCTCATTAGTGGGTGTGGCTCATTAGTGGGTGTGGCTCATTAGTGGGTGTGGCTCATTAGTGGGTGTGACTCATTAGTGGGTGAAACTCATTAGTGGGTGTGACTCATTAGTGGGTGTGGCTCATTAGTGGGTGTGGCTCATTAGTGGGTGGGGCTCATTAGTGGGTGAGGCTCATTAGTGGGTGGGGCTCATTAGTGGGTGTGGCTCATTAGTGGGTGTGGCTCATTAGTGGGTGTGGCTCATTAGTGGGTATGGCTCATTAGTGGGTGTGGCTCATTAGTGGGTGTGGGTTATTGAAATGTTGGTCTCCCCACGGAAAGTAGGTCAATTTCATTGATAAGTTTGTTGGACTAGTCTACTGTGGTCAAGGTTATGGTTGTGGCTGTCTGTTGTTGTGTTGCATTTACGTTTTTATTCTGAGAAAGAGACTGCCTGTGACATAGGTTTCATCACTCTCTATAGCGTTTGTGTGTTAGATCCAGTTGTCGATGTTTTTGAAGTGTTAAAACCTCTGGCATGGTGAAATATACAGCACGCGATGTCAACGGCATTGCGGAACACCCCTGTGAAAGTAACCCAAGGTCACGTGGCTTGAGGTCGACCAATCAGAAGTTAGCTTGGCTGAAGGTCAACCAATCAGAAGTGAGCAAGTGTGTATATGGGCAGTTGGTGGGGAGACCATTGTAACTATTACCAGTTAGTGTATGTGGCTAGTTTGTGTGGCTAGTTAATGGCTGTGGCTAATTAGTATGTATCGCTAATTGGTGGGTGTGATTATTTAGTGTCTGTGGCTAGTTAGTGGGTGTGGCTAGTTAGTAGGTGTGGTAGGTTTGTGGGTGTGGCTAGTTAGTAGGTGTGGCTGGTTAGTGGGTGTGGCTAGTTATTGCTGTGACTTGATTGTGAGTGGTTGATTATTGGGTGTGACTAGATTGTGGCTGTGGCTGGTTGGTGAGTGTGGGTAGATGCTTGCCTGCCAGCCCAGAGCTTTTGAGTTTGAATCTGCATTTAGGCTGATTCTATAATGTACTTATGGTTTCCAGACTGACCTAGCCAAAATGGGTTCCAGGACACATCTTGGGAAGTAACATGACCAGTGGCTGGTTACAGATCAAGCATTGCACCCACAGCTCCAGCAACAACCCCTAGGTATTTTAAAAACACCCTTACTCACCAACTGAAGGACAGAGTCTGAAATCAAACCCTCACCTTCAGAATACAAAGCAAAGCACTTCACCATTTCTAGTAATCTCGGAGAGCTCCACACTGGTGATTCAGAAATATGTAGCATGTTCTGTGCAACATCTTTTAATAAATTTGCTGTAGTATTTTAGAATTGTGAACACTAAATACACAGTCAACTGATGGCACAATTTATTGCCTGGCATATTTCTCTGTATCTCACCAGACACCTTATACTGCATTACACAGACAAGATAAAGAAAATAAACTAACCTTTTTGTTTTACTTCAGCTGAAAGGATTAATTTATTAGTCACACACTGTTTAATTCTCTACTATCTCTTGATCTGTCTGCTCTTCATGCTGCTGTTTGACACATCAGGTGTTTATATTAGTGTGTGATCTCTTTTGCTACCGGTCTGCTGATTTTCTGTTTGTGCTGTCCAGTGTTATTTTCCATTCATTCATTCCCCTTTCTACTGTGCTCTTGGTTTTCTTAGTTGTCCACATCTCCTTTTTCCTTCTGCTGTCCACTAGGGAGCTGTCTGTGCCAGAGTGTTGCGAACTTGTCCAAGCCATCTAAAATCTTAAAACCATAAATGGCATGTATCAAAAGTTGAGGCATACATAGAACAAGAAGATGGTGGAAAGATCTATCAGAGAAACTCTATAACCGTACAACATGTCTGTGGTGGAGGTGGCCAGAAAGCCACATTGAGAACTTTATGTCTCCTTCAAAACCCGAGGCAGTAAAAGAGGAGATGAAGAAGACGACGAAGTATCTCTTGATGAGATTTGACCATATGGCCACCAGACTGCCATGCAAATGTGCTAACCACTGGACTGCACCAGTTGTCCAGATTAACAGACATTTACATTAATGTCAACAACTAAATACTGCTCAAATAATAATAATAATTATAATAATGAAAATTATTAACTTCTACTTTTTCTTCTCCTTGGCATTCACCAGGTGTACACTCCAGTGGAAATTTCTGGCTGTTCGACCAGTTCTGGATAATGGTCTTGTTCCGAAACTTGAGTTTCTTGGGCATATTCGTTTTACAGATCTGGCTTATCAAAATGCGTACTGTTGGTTCCTTGCCTCCAAGGCAGATGCACTGCAACTTTTTGAAGGCAACTCCCATAGTTAGTCATCTTTTACAACCTGCTTGTTAGTGAGGAAGTGGGCCATAACTGAACCTCGGAACCCACACAGAGATATAATATAACCTCCACTGATTGTAATAATGCACGTTGTTGCTGTCTACAGATAGAGTGATTGTAACCTTAAAGCTGATTGGTCCAGCAGTGTTTAACGGAGGCTTCAGCACATTTTTGGCCTTTGTTTTGTTAGCAGACAGCGCCAGTTATGGATTCCAGATGTTTTTTAAAGTGAGTACCTGCAGTGTTGGGAGTCATGGTGGTGTAGCGACTAGATGCTTGCCTACTGGCCTTATCGTCATGGGTTCAAATCTACATTGAGGTAGGTTTGTTGCAAAATTGATCTTGGCTTCCAGGCCGACCCAGCTTATAATGGGTACCAGGTACTTTCCTGGACAGAAATTGTGGTGTGTATGATCTTGACCACATACCCTTCGAAGCTGATTGATCTATAAAAATATGAGCCCAGCGTTGTCTGCCAGATATGCTACCGGTGTGAAAAAGATGCTTTACTTTATTATACTGCCTGAAGTATCCATCTATTTCTAATTTGCCATGGTAGCTTCTTTCCAGTTCAGCAAATGCCTGTCAGTATTTTCTGTCTGAATACTGCATGAGTAGCAGCGTCCGTGGCTTAGGCTTTGCGAGTCCAACTCATAATTTCAACATTCCACGATCGGAACCCACTGCTGGCTGCGTGGATTTTTTATCATAGTATGGGGCGTAGCAGGTCGACCCAGCCTAAAAATGGGTACCAGGATGGCCGTTCTGGGGAAGTAAAGACAGCCGGCATAATGCTGACCACATTACCCACCTAAAGCTGATGGTCTGTAAAAATATAGGCACTCTTCCCATGTACCCGATACGCCTCAAGGCATGAAAAGGAATCTTTACTTTTACTTTCATACTGCATAAGTATTATGGTGAGGAAATTCAGGAAAGGTACTGTGGTTGGGGTATCTGCTTCTATTCCTTTGTTGTTTGGGCAGAAATTCTTTGTCCAGGGAGAAATCAGGCCTCAGCTGGGCATGGAGCCTGGGTTGCTGTCTAGGCTTTGTGTGTGAGTTCCAGGAAGAAATCTGGCCTCAGCTGGGCATGGAGCCTGGGTTGCTGTCTAGGCTCTGTATGTGAGTTCCAGGAAGAAATCTGGCCTCAGCTGGGCATGGAGCCTGGATTGCTGTCTAGGCTCTGTGTGTGAGTTCCAGGAAGAAATCTGGCCTCAGCTGGGCATGGAGCCTGGGTTGCTGTCTTTGCTCTGTGTGTGTGAGTTCCAGGGCCCAGTTTAGGGAGGGTCAGGTGGAGAAATAAAACCTAACAGGCATGTCTTTCAAGATGGCTGATTAAGGAGTTGCTGAAATTGGATGTGTTGGGTTAAAAGTCATAGATTTTGCAACCCAGCTGTAAACCACAACAATAGGTGCCCAACTGCATTTTCAAGGATGGATGCAAAACAAAAAAGTGACTTGGCAGGTGAAGATGACACCCGATCTGACTGACTGACTGACTTTCTACCCCACCAGGACATCACACAAGCGATAAACACCCGATGACACAAAGTGCCACCATGCAGATGAGGATCACCGTGGAGAGGTCCCAGAAACTGCGTTCAGATAATTGGCCACATTGATGGCCTGCCTATATTGCGGCCCCTGGCAAAAGCCAGAGTGGGGCTTCAAATAAGAAAAAATTACGTCCTGAAAAGGACGTAAGTAAGTGAACACCCAATCTATCATGTTGGGAATGACATGTAAATGGCACAATGCCTCTTCTTCTGGTACCTAAAGCAGACATAATGGCCTCTCTGTGTCATCTAATATGTCAGTGGATTTGATGTTGCGTTTATATCTAATATCTCAGCAGGTTTGATGTTGCGTTTATATCTAATATCTCAGCAGGTTTGATGTTGCGTTTATATCTAATATCTCAGCAGATTTGATGTTGCGTTTATATCTAATATCTCAGCAGATTTGATGTTGCGTTTATATCTAATATCTCAGCAGGTTTGATGTTGCGTTTATATCTAATATCTCAGCAGATTTGATGTTGCGTATAGTTTAATAATTCTTTTGAGCTGTTTACGTTTTCTGCACATATCTTTTCTCTGTCTTCTTGACTTTTTTTGCCAAGTAGTCTCCCATATAAAATAATTTTCCCAACTTTTATCTCCCCTACATTTAGTCTCTCTCTCTCTCTCTCTCTCCCCCTCTTTCCCCTCTCTCTCTCTCTCTCTCTCACTCTTCATTATGAATGTTTCAGAAACATCTCTAGCTGTTTACAAAATTTCTCACAAATTAACGTTCCAATGAGTGCTAAATTGTTCTCATAATAATATATGTCATACCTTTCAGGTAATTTGTGTGGTTGGTGTCTTTGGCCTCTTCCATGGCCATTTATGTTGCATATCTTCTATTATTTGCTGCTCAACTGTTTAGGATTTCTGCAGTTACCTTTCTCTGTCTTCCTGTATTTTTTCCTGCCTAGTAATTTCCTGCCTAGTAATTTCCTGCCTAGTAATTTCCTGCCTAGTAATTTCCCACATAGTCAGCTTTCTCAGATCTATCTCTTTTGTTTTGTACCATAAATTTTACTGATCACCAGCCTAGGATTGTCTCTAGTCATGTAAGTATTTCTGAACTTTTCCTAACAAATTAGAGTTGAAGTGAACATTGTTCTGACAGTGATATCTGTTACAACTTTCAGGTATTCGTCACTGTTGTTGTGTTTGGCCTCTTTCATGGCCTGGCTTTCCTGCCAGTGGTTCTCAGCTTAATTGGAGCAGAGCCCTACAAACACTCTGATGAGGTGCCCAGTGCCTACAAACACCCTGATGAGGTACCCAGTAGTATGTCCGTACTTGTGAACAAATCCAGCACAGAGGACAGTGAGAACCATATATCAGAGCAGAAAGGAGAGTCACTTCCAGCAGGACACACTGAGGTAAACAAATGTTGCACAATTTGTGTCAGTCTACACTTCTTATGTAAAAACAATTAAATATAGAGGTTCTGAAGTGATCATTAATGAACAAAGAGTTAAAACATTCAAATACAGAGGTTCTGAAGTGACCATTAATGAACAAAGAATAAAAACAATCAGGTACAGAGGTTCTGAAGTGACCATTAATTAACAAAGAGTAAAAACAATCAGGTACAGAGGTTCTGAAGTGACCATTAATGAACAAAGAGTAAAAACAATCAGGTACGGAGGTTCTGAAGTGACCATTAATGAACAAAGAGTAAAAACAATCAGGTACGGAGGTTCTGAAGTGACCATTAATGAACAAAGAGTAAAAACAATCAGGTACAGAGATTCTGAAGTGACCATTAATGAACAAAGAGTAAAAACAATCAGGTACAGAGGTTCTGAAGTGACCATTAATGAACAAAGAGTAAAAACAATCAGGTACAGACGTTCTGAAGTGACCATTCATAGAAAGAGAATTGTTGAAGGAAATTAGTAAGAGACGTGTGAAACATTTAAGCTATAATAATAATAATAAAAAAACAACTTTAATAAACTATACTGGGCGGAAAAGTTGCAAATATTACAATTTTGCGCTAAAAACCGAGAGATTTAGATATTTTACTGTTGATGCAAATCTGAACATTTTGAAATGCTAAAACCAGCTGAAATATTTAATTGTTTAACTGTCGATGAAAATATTAACATTTTATGCTAAAACTGACTGAGATTTAATCGTTTAACTGTTGATGCAAATGTTAACATTTTACGCTAAAACTGAGAGATTTAATTGTTTAACTGTCGATGCAAATATTAACATTTTACGCTAAAACTGACTAAGATTTAATTGTTTAACTGTAGATGCAAATGTTAACATTTTACGCTAAAACTGACAGAGAAATTTAATCATTTAACATCCCAGTTTACAAGCAGAAGCACATAGTAATCCAGGGCTATTCGCCAAAGTTTACACAGGGCAAAAATGTTGAAAATGTGGAACATCACGGACGTTAGGTCGGAACGCAGGCATAGAAAAATCTTTAATACCGTACAGTTTGCAGGGATCTGTGGGCCATTAGTTAGGCCTTGGGCCACTTGTTAGGCCTCTTTGGACAAGATTTAGCCCACTGACCACTAGTTAAATAGCCCAGCAGTAATCCATCTGTTTTGATCTCATTATATATTTTAATGCTATGATATGATTTTAATATAAACATTTTCCCTTTTCAGCCTCTGTTACTATGTTACGAGGACACAACCAGACCTTAATGGATTTATTTCTAGCCTCTGTTACTGTGTTACGAGGACACAACCAGACCTTAATGGATTTATTTCTAGCCTCTGTTACTGTGTTACGAGGACACAACCAGACCTTAATGGATTTATTTCTAGCCTCTGTTACTGTGTTACGAGGACACTACCAGACCTTAATGGATTTATTTCTAGCCTCTGTTACTGTGTTACGAGGACACTACCAGACCTTAATGGATTTATTTCTAGCCTCTGTTACTGTGTTACGAGGACACTACCAGACCTTAATGGATTTATTTCTAGCCTCTGTTACTGTGTTACGAGGACACAACCAGACCTTAAGGGATTTTTTTTCTAGCCTCTGTTACTGTGTTACGAGGACACAACCAGACCTTAATGGATTTATTTCTAGCCTCTGTTACTGTGTTACGAGGACACAACCAGACCTTAATGGATTTATTTCTAGCCTCTGTTACTGTGTTACGAGGACACTACCAGACCTTAATGGATTTATTTCTAGCCTCTGTTACTGTGTTACGAGGACACTACCAGACCTTAATGGATTTATTTCTAGCCTCTGTTACTGTGTTACGAGGACACTACCAGACCTTAATGGATTTATTTCTAGCCTCTGTTACTGTGTTACGAGGACACAACCAGACCTTAAGGGATTTTTTTTCTAGCCTCTGTTACTGTGTTACGAGGACACAACCAGACCTTAATGGATTTATTTCTAGCCTCTGTTACTGTGTTACGAGGACACAACCAGACCTTAATGGATTTATTTCTAGCCTCTGTTACTGTGTTACGAGGACACAACCAGACCTTAATGGATTTATTTCTAGCCTCTGTTACTATGTTACGAAGACACAACCAGACCTTAATGGATTTATTTCAGACCCAAAGGTAGACTGGTATATGTGGTTACCAGGTTTTTGATATTCATTGTTCAGTATCTTCTAGTGGATACTTTTAGATGTAGAATTGTATTTAAAATTCCCAAGTGTTTCATGTGAAATCTGTTCAGTATTTTTAACTAGTGGATACTTTTTTATATAAATTAGATTCTCAAAGTTGAAAAGGTTAACAATGAGAGAATCAACTTCATTGCACTGGATTTTATCCAATGAGGCTCAGTCTCTCTCTGCAGAAAGGCTAGCTACCTGCTGAATGCTTCACAAAAAGCATGAACTCTGTAGCTCCAGTAACGATCCCCAGGGACCTCCTAAAAACTGCACCCATGAATTGAACTGTCTGTAATGACGAGGTGCTTGATATGAAATTTGCCTAGTTTCCTTCACCTAGTGCAATGGTTCTCAACCGCCCTTATGCCGCAGCCCTTTATTACAGTGGACCCCCCCCCCCCCCCAACCATAACTTTATTTTCGCTGCTACTTCATAACTTCAGTGAATATGTGTTTTCCAGTGGTCTTAGGGGACCCCTGTGAAATAATAGTTCGACCCTCCACCTCTGACCTAGTGGATACTTTCAGATGAACATTTGTATCTGTTGTACCAAGTGCTTGATGAAAAGGTTGTTCAATGTCCTCATTACCTAGTGTATACTTTTTCGATATAATTTTGATAATGACAGTTTCACATTCTGTCACTGATACTCATGACTATGAAACATGTATTTATGTAATGATACAGGTTTTACTGTATTAAGGCAAACATCTACTTAACATAATTTATGTGTAAAGAGACGGGGGTTAGGAAGGCACAGACCAGGAAAGAACTGATGAGATTAGTATGATTGATGTGGGATACTAGAAGAAATGAATGATGCTGCGGCGTGCAGATTGAAGGGGTGATTAGGAGAGTGAACGAACCAAGGATCATTCTGTGTTTGAGCTGGGAAGAGTCCAGTGAATGTGAATGGGTACTTAATTTATAACTTACCCCTGACGTCACGACAACGTCACGGGAGACATTCCCAATAAATTCTAGGGTGTTCAGGTTGTAGTTTCTCGCGATTTCTCTACAGCAAAGTTTAGGGTTAGGGTTAGGGTTAGGATTAGGATTAGAAGACACTAGATGAACACTAAAAAAAAAAACACCAAACAACAGCACACTTGTACCCCTTGAAATAATGGACTGTCACGTCAGCTGTGGATTTCCCACGGGGATTTCATGTTTGGGGTAGGTTATAAATTAAGAACCTGTGAATAGATCTGAGAACTGAATCTACCTAAGCAGCCTGCAGTGGCTATGAATACCTGGCCATTTGTGACTGTGAAGATGGATGTCAGAGGGATGATTGTCAGCTGCTTATGCAGAATATTTTTAAAGGAACCAAAGTGTGCCAGCGATTGTCTTTGAACTCAGTGTGCATGCAGAACGTTCAGTTGTTAGTAGTAACCTAGCGTGTGTGAAATGTTGAAGCTGTGTTCTCTAGTCATTACCCTAGACAAAAGATGGCAACAGGGAACAGACGACCCAGCTTGGAACAACCATTAAACACCCTGTTTATGATCTGGGGTCTCATTGTGGGAAAAACAAGAATAGACCCACTGTGCCTCCCCAACAAGCTTGTCGTAGGAGTTGACTAACTGGAGACATCATTTGGATTGCATCTGTCTGAGAGATGAGGAACCAACAGTCTGCATACAAATAAGCCAGATGTGTAAAACAGATGTGCATTCACCACTCAGGTTCTGGAACACTACTAAAGTTCAGAGGTGGACGAACAACCAGAATGTTTTGCTGGAGTTGTCAGCCGGTGAATGCAAAGAAGAAGAACCATTACACATTGTAAATCAAGCCTTGTGTTCCAGCTGATGTGTATAGTTTATCACTGTTGCGGAATACTGGGACAGTATAGTTTTAGCTGTCTGCAGTGCTGCTTGGCCATCCTTGAGAAGGACATTGTAATTTCCTTCACTGGAGATTGTTATAATCTAGAGTTTGCTTGAAAATAGATGATCATCGTTTCTTTTGTAGAGTAATTACAGTAGAAGCATTATGACAAAAGAGTGTATCCACTCATCATCATCATCAGGTGCCTTGCCGACTGGCGTGGGCGATCATGCCTCTCCATAATCCGCGATCTCCTGCAGCATGTATCAGTTCGTGTGCCGACACACCTCCATGCCATGCACCAAGACTGTCAAGCATCTTCTCTCGTTGTCTTCCTCTATCCCTCCTTCCACAGATCTTTCCAGTGGTCACAACATGTTCTATTTTCCCTCTTCTCATAACATGGCCGAAAAATGATGACTGTCTCCTTCTGATGTCAGTGATAAGTTGTCTTCGGTCTCCCGCCTCTTTTAAGACCTCTTGGTTGCTCTTTTTGGCTGTCCAAGGTATTCTAAGCATTCTTCTGTAAAACCACATCTCTGAGGCCTCTAAAAATTGTTTGGCCTGCCTACCGATTGTCCAGGATTCACATCCATATGTTAAAACTGGATGTATGTAGCAAGCAAGAATTCTTTTTCTAACTCTCAATGACAAGGATATATTGCACAAGATGTTTTTCATTTTATAAAATGCAGTTTTTGCCTGTCCAATTCTGTTTCTTATTTCAGTTGTGCATCTTCCATCTGATGTTATCCGATGGAAGATGCATAACTGATGTGTATCCACTACTAAGTTTTAATTAAAAAAAAAAATGTAATGAAATGACAGTAGTATATAGTAGAATTTATTATTGCCTGGCGTTTTTCACAGTATCGCGCAAGGTACATATTACAGAGTTTAACATCAATGTATAATAAAGGAAAACAGACAAATCCCATTTTTATTTTACACCATTCATCAACCCACAGAAGTCTTTGATTAATTACGTGATCATTTTGTTTAAATAGGATTACCCCTCCTTTTTCTGACCTCCTAACTCTTTCTGTCCGAGCAATGCATCATGTATGCTATGCTTATGTCTTTGTGTATCAGTGCATCACTTGGTGTGTTATTTTTTTAAATGTTTGGTCTTGGTATGCAAAAGAAATCTGGCCAACTATTTTAAATACTCAAAACAATAAAATGTGCAATGTTTTGTTTGTGTCCTCATTGTTTAAATATTTTAAAAACAGCAAAAAATGTGCTGCTGTATCTTTGAAAATCATTCCTTACGTCCTTCTTAGGACGTAATTTTTTTTAAATTTGAAGCCCCACTCTGGCTTTTGCCAGAGGCCGCAATATAGGCAGGCCATCAATATGGCCAATTGTCTAAACGCAGTTTCTGGGACCTATCCATGGTGATCCTTATCCGCATGGTGGCACTTTGTGTCATCAGGTATTTATCGCTTGTGTGATGTCCTGGTGGGGTAGAAAGTCAGTCAGTCTTTGAAAATCATACACTGGGATGTTTGCAAAAATTGGGGTTTCTACTTTAAAACTATTTGGGACTGAAAAGTTAATCAAAATCAGGCAATACATTTTTCGGTGCATCGTTGGCATATTTGTTATGTAAGTTCAAAGTTCAAAATGGGAAGGTATGTCGAGTTCTGAAACTTAAGTCTGTTAATGATCAGAGCTTTATGTGTGTTCAATTACGAATATAAAGTCAGATGCTGACAAACAAGGTTTGAGTCTTAACAACAATCAGCAAGTCCTTTACAGAACATCGCTTTCTTCACGGCACGCCTGAAAGTATCCATTTCCCTAGCCAGCTCTCTGGCCACATGTACTTTGGATGCCAATGCTTCATCAATATCCTGTATCCATCTTTGCTGAGGTCAAGCCATGCCTCACCTTCCACAAACAGCACCCTTCAACACTGTCTTTTCCAAGCCACCATGACGCTTGATGTGGCCAAAATATTTCACCCTTTGGGACAGGCTTCCTTTTTATGAGCCAGTTCTCCATGATGTTCAACTCATTTAGAATGTTGATGTTTTTCCTCTTCCTAATCCATGGTATTCATGGGATTGTTTCAGTTTAAAAGCTCACAAGCTACACACACACACACACACACACACACACACACACACAAAGTTGAATCTAGGTAAAGCTTAAGTGAGTTGAAAAACAGAAACAATTTGTTTTATTTAATTCTTTTTGCATTTGCAGTTTTCTAGCTTGAGTAAGGAGATTTACTTCCAAGGTGTTTGGCCTGTAGCCAGCAGTAGTTAGGAAATGATCAACAACAGAACCGTTGCACTCCTGAATGCAGTAGTCAACAAATTTTCAGAAGTTATTTGTATCACAATTTAAATACATCACTTCTGATTGGTTGTGACATGTGGATTTCAAATGTCAGACATTTACTAAAACAAGCAGAGGCTGTGTCAATAATACTGAGCTCTCCAGTTTTTATGTTTGAAAAAAAAAAAAATCACCTTATAAATTTGAAGTTACTATGGCAGTCACATGTCTGACCTTGAAATTCCGATGCAGAGATATACATCCTGACTTGACAGTGACAATGTGATTTTATATTGCAGTGAACAGGATTAATTGTTGTGCTTCGTTATGTGTTGAGTTAACTTTGCAGTAAATTGTGCAATGTGCTGTTTCTATCCACATTATTTAAATTTACGAAGGGAAAACATTCTAAATAGTAAAATTCCCAAACTGGCTTTGAGTGCTTTTTTTTTTTTTTTAAATTATGAATTTACATTACAGTAATACAAAGATTGTATGCTTGTTTATTTCTCTGGTGTGAACAGTCAGTCTTTGTATCCTTTGGTGTGAACAGTCAGTCTTTTTACTTGAGCATTTCAAAAATTGTAGTTACATCCTTAGTTAATTGAATGTGAACATTAAATGACAGAAACAAAATAACAGGAACATTTGAACCCATTCCACCATTATTCAGTTGTTATTCTGGCTCTGTTTGCTTGCATCTTGAAATAATTTAATGAGGTGTCCCTTGTCACATTCCAACAGGAATCAGCAAGCTCCGAAAGGCTCCAATTGCCTTCATACCTTGTCTCTACGGCAGCAATTTTCCTGATTGAATGAATCGATCAATCAAGAACTAACATCACTGTACTCAGGACATTACCACACTTGCTCAGTCTCACTCTTCAGTAGCCAACAAAGAGTTGACATGCGAATAGCGCCAATTACAACCTGAAAAAGAAAAACCAGCTTCTGTTTCCCCTTCAGAAACTCTACACCCCCCCTCCCCACTGAATTAACTGAATTAGTCTTTCGCTGTATAGATTCTCTATCTGTGTTATTGCACTTATTGCACTGTGCATTTGATCCCGTAGAGCCTACACCATATCCTCTACATCATATAGTAGCCTACCACCACAGGAGCGATGGTGGCTAATCTATCAGCCTGCTTTTTACCTCACACACCAGAATGTCCTGGACAGAAAATCTAAGATATACTCCTGATCTGGGTCGTGATAAGCCCTGATAAAATTGTTCACTGTACTCATCCCTGATGGCTCCACAGTTTGACATTTTAAAAAAAAGTCCAGATGAGAATCCTGTAAATGAATATTCAAAGACAATTTGCAGCCAAGACTCTTATACTTCAGAAGTAGATTGTCGACAATCTCATTGTCATTATCAGATCTGTTCTCACCCCCCTCTCCTTTTTCCCTTGAAACAAAAAAAAATGATCCCTCTAGATTTGCATTTAAAACTCATAGAAACCAAGTTCAGCCATACAGCACAATTAGACTGGGGCACTACAAAATGGTTACAAGTTAACCTGTAGTCCCAAGTTGGGTGGGTCTGGTTCTGACTGGGCCACTACAAAATGGTTGCAAGTTAACCTGTAGTCCTAGGTTGGATGGGTCTGGTTCTGTCTGCCTGGCTGTTATGACTGCCTGATTGGCCAATGTCTTCTGATTTAGTGGTCACTTCTTGAACGTTCTTTCCATTCATAGAGAAAGTAACAGTACTTGAGGTATCCACTCTGTAGTTCAAGTAAAAGAGTGACCACTTTCAAGTTGCTGCAAACTGACCAATGATGATGAATGAACTGTATGACCAACCGGAATTAATGGTAACACTTTACCAGCAAAGGGAGTCGCCGTGGCTGATCAGCTAGACGCTCCCTGGCAGAGCCATGCTTTTTTCAAAAATGACCTTGACTCCCAGGTCGACCCAGCCTTGAGTGGGTACCGGGTGCAGTCCCAGGAAAATTCAGAATTAAAATGTGTATCTTAAAAATGCACGATTTCCCCATGTTTTATGCAGGATTTAAGATTCTAGGTCACTGGTACTGAGCATATGGTTCAATATTGAATTTGGTTTTTTAAATGATTCTTTTTAATGATTATTATAAGGAGAACATTTTAAAAGTATAAATCGATGAAACAGTTTAATTTTGTTTCAAAATACTAGCCGTGTGTACTGGCTTCCCATTGTTGGCCCAAATGCTTTGTGACAAAGGTGACATGAATATTACTGCTAAATGCATCAGGCAAATGTAAAGCAACAGAAATCATTTCTTATAAGCTGGCAACAATCATTAATTGGAGCATGTGGAGAATAGAAGGGTCACAAATGCATAATATGAGGAAACAAAATAAAGAACATTGAAATAAAGAAGGGGAAAGGATGAGGAAGAAAAAGCTGAACATAAAAGATAGTTTAGCCACTCTTACATCTCCAGGGTTCAGTCAATCAGTCAATCAATCCTTATCACGCCCAGAGGCACATAAGGCAGAGACAAACTGTCTCCACTCATATGGATCCTGGGCCATCCTCTAGTTCTCCAGTTTTGTCCTTTGTGCAGTCTTGAGTTCAACCTCAAAAGTTTTCCTGTAAGTTCCTCTGGGTCTGCCTCTCTGTCCTTGTGGTGTCCATTTCATTGCCTGTCTTGGCCATCTGTCTTTTTTCATTTTTAGGATGTATCCAATCCACCTCCATCTTCATTTTTTTAATTTCTAAAGTGGCATCTTCTAAGTTTGTCATTTGTTGTAATCAACAATTGATGATTTTATCTTCCCATGTGAACCCCAACAATGTTCTGAGAAGTCTTCCCTCAAAACCTCTGAGCAAGCTCTCTATTTTTCCATTTGTTTTCCAAGTTTCTGCTCCATAGAGGAGAAATGCTCTAATGCATGTTTTGTATATCCCGAGTTTAGTTCTAGTGCTGTAGATGTTTGATCTCCAGGCACTCTGAAGCCTGTTGTAAGCAGCATTTGCATTTAAAAAAAAGAGAGGTGCCATGATGTAGTGGCTAGACACTTACCTAGGGGCCTAAGATCGTGGTTTCAAATCCATGCTGAGTCCTTTTTTCCCCCTTCAAAATAGACCTTGGCCCAGCCTCAAATGAGTACCAGATAATATCCTAGAAAGTAAAGGTGGCCGGTGATATGTTGAACATATAACTCAGAAAGTGCTGTTGATCTATAAAAACTGTATTCTGGCACCATATGCCTGGCATTTAAAGTCTCCTGTACATCTCATTGAATTATTATTACACACTGAACAATGTGCAAAGGTGCCAGGGACCAATCTCAGCTGGCATTTATATAATACTTTTATATAATGTTTTATATAATATTCAGTTTTGAAGCAAAAGCAAATTCACTCCTGGGGGTTCAGCATTTGTGCTCTGGGTAACATTTTCATACTCATACTTTAGAGCAGGGGTTCTCAAAATATTTCATTCAACACATTTTTTGAAGCTAACCCTCCCTCCCTCCAGTCCCCATCCCTCCAGTTCCCCCCTCGTCCCCCCCCTCCAGTTCCCATCCCTCCAGTTCCCCCCCTCCAGTTCCCCCACCCCTCCTCTTGTTTTTTATATATCATAGGTGTTTCGTCCTTTTAAGGATGAAATTTTTTGTTATTTGAGGCCCCACCCTGGCTTTTGCCAGGGGCCGCAATAAAGGCAGGCCATAAATATGGCCAATTGTCTGAAAGCGGTTTCTGAGACCTCTCCATGGCGATCCTCATCCACATGGTGGCACTTTGTGTCATAGGGTGTTTATCGCTTGTGTGATGTCCTAGTGGGGTAGAAAGTCAGTCAGTCAGACCCCTCCTCCAGTCCCCATCCCGACTCCTCCAGTCCCCATCGCGACTCCTTCAGTCCCCATCCCGACTCCTCCAGTCCCCATCCCGACTCCTCCAGTCCCCATCCCGACTCCTCCAGTCCCCATCCCGACTCCTCCAGTCCCCTTCCCGACTCCTTCAGTCCCCCTCCCGACTCCTCCAGTCCCCCTCCCGACTTCTCCAGTCCCCATCCCGACTCCTTCAGTCCCCCTCCCGACTCCTCCAGTCCCCATCCCGACTCCTTCAGTCCCCATCCCGACTCCTTCAGTCCCCATCCCGACTCCTCCAGTCCCCATCCCGACTCCTCCAGTCCCCATCCCGACTCCTCCAGTCCCCATCCCAACTCCTCCAGTCCCCATTCCGACTCCTCCAGTCCCCATCCCGACTCCTTCAGTCCCCATCCCGACTCCTTCAGTCCCCATTCCGACTCCTCCAGTTTCTTAAGAAAATCATAAGTACCAACAGCATGTACATAATTTGCAAAACTTAAAATGGAAACATGTCCATACTGCCTTTTTATTTTGTCACAACCTCCCCCCCCCCCCTATCTTTCTGTTGCATTTAAAGATTTCCTGCTTTAAAAATTAGCCTAATTAAATTACAGCCACAAGTAAATAATTCAATAATAAGTAATAATTGTGAAGGTTAGGTTAGTTGTGTATCCTTTACAGGACACTGCAGAACCAACCTCATCAGCCCCTGGCTGTTGTGTGGTTTTTCTAGGCAAATTTACGTCCAGTAGTTTGCCATTGCTTTCTGGACGGTTGGCTTTCCTGATACCACTGTCGAAACCAACGCAAGGCACATGGCCAACAGCTGGGATTGAACCCGGCATCCCGGCATTACGAAGCGTTCGCATTGACTTAGCCACAGAGCCGACAATAAATGCAAAGAGAACAAGGAAATAAAATCCTGGGCACAAATAATGCCACTGTTTTGTCACGTTGTCTAGTCAAAATACTGGCGTCCAGTTATTATTTATTGTAAGGGTTTGACATTCGCTACCAGAATAAAATGACTGACTGGCTGGCTGTTTTTCCCCCTCCGTTCTGCTACCTGGTTTTCACACCCTTACGAATGAGTCACATCCTAGACGTCAATCCAACCAGGCAAATCCCAGCTACCTCGTTAAATTTGATCAGAAATCAACTAACTGTAACTACGCACGGCAAGATTATATAATAATGTTGAGTATTATAGATTAATCCGGTTGACTCTGCCAACTAGAACAGTAAGATGATCAAGGTAATAATTTTTTGTTTATTTGTAACCTATCACCAGGAGAAGGTTAAATCTAGTCACTTTCGGTTGTGACACAACCCTGTGAATACTGACATATATTATTATTTCTGCAATGACTTCGAACGATGTAGTTGTTGAATAAGCATTTTATTCAGCCGAACACGGGTATCAGGGACTTGTTCTGTTGACTCTTATCACAAATGTTGTATCAAACTTTCTGTGGGAGAATCCACAATTTAAATGGATTGTATCGGTTTATTCTGCAGGATTGAAACTGTCATTTATGTACTCGTGAGGCATTTTTTCCTGATGAGGCTCTTGGTGGCTGATCACGAAGATTTGAGGCTGAGGCCTGGCATCTTCGGTGGCAGCTGTTGAATCGTGTGTGTGGGGAGGCTGGTCTGACGCAAAATGGTTCGATATACTTCTTGTCTTGCTCAGGTCAAGGCCATTTGTCTGTAGAATCAAAACATTATATAATCAGGTTCACATATTTGTAGTCACGAAGCAAGGAGAAACAACAAAAATATCTACAAGTATAAGCTTTACAACTGCAAATGCAAAGTGAAGTAAATAAAATAAATTAATTATGTTTCTGTGTTTTGACTCACCTGGACTTGACATAGATCCAACCTGGCATGTCAGCACTATACTTTATATTCATAATTAAACAGCCATAGAGCTCTGATCAATAACAAACTAAATTTTCAGAAATTCATATCTTTCCATTCTGAGTTTACATAATGATGATATCAAAAAATACACTGCATACTTTATTACCTGGCATGTTTGCTCGCCTTCAGCTTTTCCCTCCAGCATGTTTTTTTTTTTTTAAAGAAAATGTCACTTGTCTCTTGTTCATTTCCTTCAGCATCTCTCTTTTCATGAACAGACACTTCAGAACCTCTGTATTTGATTGTTTTTACTCTTTGTTCATGAATGGTCACTTCAGAACCTCTTTATTTACTTTTTCCTTCCACGTATGCCGCTAAGCGTTGTGGGGAGATGCAAGTTCCTGTCATAAGCAAGGCGGGCAGCATCTGATGTTCTGAGGCCATGCTTTTGGCAGGTTTCGGAGACCCCGTCAATCCACCGTTTCCTTGGTCTTCCTCTTGCATTATATCCTGAGCTTCTTTGGTTGAAAATTTGTGATGTTATTTGGTCATTTTTCATCCTGGTTAGATGTCTAAACCATTTCATTCTTTGATGTTCTATGTAGTCTAAACATGGTGTAGTTTTGACAGTGTTTCTAATGTCTATGTTCTTTATCCTGTCTAGTCTGGTCTTATTCGCTGCTTTTCTTAGACATTTCATTTCACAGGCTTCTATTTTTCTTTCATGGGTCTTGTTGATTGTCCATGTCTGGCACTGGTAGCAGAGTGTTGAAATGAAGATGGTGTTTATCAATTGTCTTTTGGTCTTCATGGTTATATCTGGATGTTTAAGCAGAGGTGATAGTTGGTATGTGACAGCATTTGCTTTCTGAACCTCTGTATTTAATTGTTTGTATTCTTTGTTCATTAATGATTACTTCAGAACCTCTTTTTTTGATGGTTTTTATTCTTTGTTCATTAATGATCAATTCAGAACCTCTGTATTTGATTGTTTTTATTCTTTGTTCATTAATGATCACTTCAGAACTACTGTATTTGATTGTTTTTATTCTTTGTTCATTAATGATCACTCCAGAACCTCTGTATTTGATTGTTTTTATTCTTTGTTTATTAATGATCACTTCAGAACCTCTATATTTGATTGTTTTTATTCTTTGTTTATTAATGATCACTTCAGAACCTCTGTATTTGATTGTTTTTATTCTTTGTTTATTAATGATCACTTCAGAACCTCTGTATTTGATTGTTTTTATTCTTTGTTTATTAATGATCACTTCAGAACCTCTGTATTTGATTGTTTTTATTCTTTGTTCATTAATGATCACTCCAGAACCTCTGTATTTGATTGTTTTTATTCTTTGTTTATTAATGATCACTTCAGAACCTCTATATTTGATTGTTTTTATTCTTTGTTTATTAATGATCACTTCAGAACCTCTGTATTTGATTGTTTTTATTCTTTGTTTATTAATGATCACTTCAGAACCTCTGTATTTGATTGTTTTTATTTTTTGTTTATTAATGATCACTTCAGAACCTCTGTATTTGATTGTTTTTATTCTTTGTTCATTAATGATCACTTCAGAACCTCTGTATTTGATTGTTTTTATTTTTTGTTTATTAATGATCACTTCAGAACCTCTGTATTTGATTGTTTTTATTCTTTGTTCATTAATGATCACTTCAGAACCTCTGTATTTGATTGTTTTTATTCTTTGTTCATTAATGATCACTTCAGAACCTCTGTATTTGATTGTTTTTATTCTTTGTTCATTAATGATCACTTCAGAACCTCTGTATTTGATTGTTTTTTATTCTTTGTTCATTAATGATCACTTCAGAACCTCTGTATTTGATTGTTTTTATTCTTTGTTCATTAATGATCACTTCAGAACCTCTGTATTTGATTGTTTTTATTCTTTGTTCATTAATGATCACTTCAAAACCTCTGTATTTGATTGTTTTTATTCTTTGTTCATTAATGATCACTTCAGAACCTCTGTATTTGATTGTTTTTATTCTTTGTTCATTAATGATCACTTCAGAACCTCTGTATTTGATTGTTTTTATTCTTTGTTCATTAATGATCACTTCAGAACCTCTGTATTTGATTGTTTTATTTTTTGTTCATTAATGATCACTTCAGAACCTCTGTATTTGATTGTTTTTATTCTTTGTTCATTAATGATCACTTCAGAACCTCTGTATTTGATTGTTTTTATTCTTTGTTCATTAATGATCACTTCAGAACCTCTGTATTTGATTGTTTTTATTCTTTGTTCATTAATGATCACTTCAGAACCTCAGTATTTGATTGTTTGTATTCTTTGTTCATTAATGATCACTTCAAAACCTCTGTATTTGATTGTTTTTATTCTTTGTTCATTAATGATCACTTCAGAACCTCTGTATTTGATTGTTTGTATTCTTTGTTCATTAATGATCACTTCAAAACCTCTGTATTTGATTGTTTTTATTCTTTGTTTATGAATGGTCACTTCAGAACCTCTGTATTTGATTGTTTTTACTCTTTGTTCATGAATGATCACTTCAGAACCTCTGTATTTGATTGTTTTTATTCTTTGTTCATTAATGATCACTTCAGAACCTCTGTATTTGATTGTTTTTATTCTTTGTTCATGAATGTTCACTTCAGAACCTCTGTATTTGATTGTTTTTATTCTTTGTTAATTAATTATCACTTCAGAACCTCTTTTTTTGATTGTTTTTATTCTTTGTTCATTAATGATCAATTCAGAACCTCTGTATTTGATTGTTTTTATTCTTTGTTCATTAATGATCACTTCAGAACTACTGTATTTGATTGTTTTTATTCTTTGTTCATTAATGATCACTCCAGAACCTCTGTATTTGATTGTTTTTATTCTTTGTTTATTAATGATCACTTCAGAACCTCTGTATTTGATTGTTTTTATTCTTTGTTTATTAATGATCACTTCAGAACCTCTGTATTTGATTGTTTTTATTTTTTGTTTATTAATGATCACTTCAGAACCTCTGTATTTGATTGTTTTTATTCTTTGTTCATTAATGATCACTTCAGAACCTCTGTATTTGATTGTTTTTATTTTTTTGTTTATTAATGATCACTTCAGAACCTCTGTATTTGATTGTTTTTATTCTTTGTTCATTAATGATCACTTCAGAACCTCTGTATTTGATTGTTTTTATTCTTTGTTCATTAATGATCACTTCAGAACCTCTGTATTTGATTGTTTTTATTCTTTGTTCATTAATGATCACTTCAGAACCTCTGTATTTGATTGTTTTTATTCTTTGTTCATTAATGATCACTTCAGAACCTCTGTATTTGATTGTTTTTATTCTTTGTTCATTAATGATCACTTCAGAACCTCTGTATTTGATTGTTTTTATTCTTTGTTCATTAATGATCACTTCAGAACCTCTGTATTTGATTGTTTTTATTCTTTGTTCATTAATGATCACTTCAGAACCTCTGTATTTGATTGTTTTTATTCTTTGTTCATTAATGATCACTTCAGAACCTCTGTATTTGATTGTTTTTATTCTTTGTTCATTAATGATCACTTCAGAACCTCTGTATTTGATTGTTTTTATTCTTTGTTCATTAATGATCACTTCAGAACCTCTGTATTTGATTGTTTTTATTCTTTGTTCATTAATGATCACTTCAGAACCTCTGTATTTGATTGTTTTTATTCTTTGTTCATTAATGATCACTTCAGAACCTCTGTATTTGATTGTTTTTATTCTTTGTTCATTAATGATCACTTCAGAACCTCTGTATTTGATTGTTTTTATTCTTTGTTCATTAATGATCACTTCAGAACCTCTGTATTTGATTGTTTTTATTCTTTGTTCATTAATGATCACTTCAAAACCTCTGTATTTGATTGTTTTTATTCTTTGTTCATTAATGATCACTTCAAAACCTCTGTATTTGATTGTTTTTATTTTTTGTTCATTAATGATCACTTCAGAACCTCTGTATTTGATTGTTTTTATTTTTTGTTTATTAATGATCACTTCAGAACCTCTGTATTTGATTGTTTTTATTTTTTGTTTATTAATGATCACTTCAGAACCTCTGTATTTGATTGTTTTTATTCTTTGTTCATTAATGATCACTTCAGAAACTCTGTATTTGATTGTTTTTATTTATTGTTCATTAATGATCACTTCAGAACCTCTGTATTTGATTGTTTTTATTCTTTGTTCATTAATGATCACTTCAGAACCTCTGTATTTGATTGTTTTTATTTTTTGTTTATTAATGATCACTTCAGAACCTTTGTATTTGAATGTTTTTACATAAGAAATGTTTGTTCCTAAGAAATGTAGACTTGACACAAATTGTGCAACATTTGTTTACCTCAGTGTGTCCTGCTGGAAGTGACTCTCCTTTCTGCTCTGATATACGGTTCTCATTGTTCTCTGTGCTGGGTTTGTTCACAAGTACGGACATACTACTGGGTGCCTCATCAGAGTGTGTGTAGGGCTCTGCTCCAATTAAGCTGAGAACCACTGGCAGGAAAGCCAGGCCATGAAAGAGGCCAAACACAACAACAGTGAAGAATACCTGAAAGTTGTAATATATATCACTGTCAGAACAATGGTCACTCCCTGTAACTTTAATTTACTAGGAAAGTTTGCGAAATACTGTAGACAACTAGAGACAATCCTAGGCTAGTAACAAGGAAAAGGTAATGAAATGTTTGGTGAAAAACAAAAAAGATGGATCTGAGAAAGTCGACTTTATGTGGGAAATTACTAGGCAGGAAAAAATACAGGAAAACAGAGAAAAATAAATGCAGAAATCCTAAACAGTTGAGCAGCAAATACAATAATAATAACAAAAATGCAACATAAATGGCCATTAAAGAGGCCAAAGACAACAACCGCACAGAATATCTGTAAGGTGTGTCAGATATTATTATGAGAAGCCCACCCTGCTACTAGCACGATTTTCTCTGAACCTCCTCTAGTGGCCTACAGGCATGATCGTAACCTCAAGGACATTCTAGTCAAGAGTCGGTTACTTCGTGCGTCTGAGCCCCACTTCGGCACGGTCTCTTGCCACAGACCTGTATGCAGGACCTGTCCATATGTGGTCCAGGTGGCTAGTGTAGAATTCCCGCCACCTTTCACATACGTGAAGCATTCTATTGTACCAGCCGCAGTGTCATTGATGCCATCAACTGCAAGAGATGTGGCATGAAATACATTGGCGAAACAGGTCTGTGGCTGGCTGACAGGTCCAGAAAACATTTTTTGGATGTGCAAAATTTGTGCTCTGAAACCAGTACCGTTGCACTTCAATTCTCAGGATCACCAAGGTGTCCTCGACATGGAGGTGACAGCCATTAAATCCAGCCATTCCATCGACAGAGTCCGTAAGTCTCTTGAGAATCGCTTTATTTATACTCTGGGGACTTTACCACCCTCTGGACTGAATTGCCAACACAGTTTCATTTAAACTCCTAGGGGACTGAACTGCCCTCACAGTTTTATCACTAACCCCCTAGTTATGGCCACTGGTATTCCACAGGGGGTATTTATTTCCCCAGCTGACACATGTAGACATTCTCCTGAGAAACCATCGACCCGGCTGCTTCGAGATACCAGCTAAGTGATTTTGTGTATCTGTGTAGTATTTTTGTATGTGCTGATAAGGCGGCGTCCGTGGCTAAGGCGTTGCGAGTCCGACTCGCAAGCCAGCATACCGCGATCGAAACCCACTGCAGGCTGAGCGGATTTTTATTGTGGTATGGGACGTCGCAGGTCGACCCAGCCTAAAATGGGTACCAGGATGGGCTGTCCTGGGAAAGTAAAGAGAGCCGGCGTAATGCTGACCACATTACTCACAGAGTGCTGATGGTCTGTAAAAATATGCGACGCTTTGCCCATATGCCCGATGCGCCGAAAGGCGTGAAAAGGGATCTTCACTTTACTTTTTTACTTTTTTTTATGTGCTGATAAAGGCTCCATAGTTCCAACGTTCACGTTTTTTTTGTATTTGTTATATTGTGAAGCTTGCTAGTATACTTTCGTTCGGTTTTATACCTTTTTCCACCAGATGCACATCAGGCAGACAATGCTGGGCTTAGATTTGTATAAATCAGTCAACTTCGAAGGGTATGTGGTCAAGATCAAACACACCACAATTTCTGTCCAGGAAAGTACCTGGTACCCATTATAAGCTGGGTCGGCCAGGAAGTCAAGGTCAATTTTGAAACAAACCTACCTCAATGTAGATTTGAACCCATGACCATGAATGAGGCCAGTAGACAAGCATCTAGTCGCTACACCACCATGACTCCCAACACTGCAGGTACTCACTTTAAAAAACATCTGGAATCCATAACTGGCGCTGTCTGCTAACAGAACAAAGGCCAAAAATGTGCTGAAGCCTCCGTTAAACACTGCTGGACCAATCAGCTTTAAGGTTACAATCACTCTATCTGTAGACAGCAACAATGTGCATTATTACAATCAGCTTTAAGGTTACAATCACTCTATCTGTAGACAGCAACAACGTGCATTATTACAATCAGTGGAAGTTGTTAATTTGCATTAGTATTATTATTATTGTTAATTATTAATATTGCAGAATGTAAAGAGTATTTATGTAAATGACTATTAATCTGGAGAGCTGCAATGGTTAGCACATTCACCTGCCAGCCTGGTGATCATGTGTTCCAATCTCATCAAAAGATTGCCTATTTTACTGCTTCGGATATCAAAGGAGATGTAAGCTTCTGGATCTTGTTTCTCTGGCCGCCTCAGCCATAGACATGCTGTACTGTTATAGAGTTTCTCTGATATATCTTTCCATCATCTTCTTGGTCTACCTCTGCCCTCTCTTTTGATATATGCCATGTGTGGTTTAAAGATTTGAGACTTTGGACAGGTTTTCAGAATGCCCCTCGATGCTTTGGCTCAAACAGCTCTCCAGTGGATGGCAGATGGAAGAAAAAAAAGGAGACTTGGACAACCTCAGGAACCCGGAGAAGGACAAAAGAAAGGGAAATTAATGAATGGAAAATAACTTGGGACACCTTAGGCAGAAAATCAGCAGGTAGCAATAGAGATCACACACTCCTTTAAACACCTGATGTGTCAAACAGCAACATGAAGAGCAGACAGAAACTGATGTATGGTATTATCTTTCACAGATGAAGAGTTAACAGAGAATTAAACAGGGCGTGACTAATAAATTAATCCTTTCAGCTGAAGTAAAACAAAAAGGTTAGTTTATTTTCTTTATCTTGTGTGTGTAATGCTATATAAGGTGTTTGGTGAGATACAGAGAAATATGCCAGGCAATAAATTGTGCCATCAGTTGACTGTGTATTTAGTGTTCACAATTCTAAAATACTACAGCAAATTTATTAAAAGATGTTGCACAGAACATGCTGCATATTTCTGAATCACCAGTGTGGAGCTCTCCGAGATTACTAGAAATGGTGAAGTGGTTTGCTTTGTATTCTGAGGGTGAGGGTTCAATATCAGTCTGTCCTTCATAAGTTTGGGTGTTTTGAAAATACCTGGGGGTTGTTGTTGGAGCTATGGATGTGTGCTTTATGCAACACTTGACTTGTACCCAGCCGCTCTGCAGAAGGAGATCAAGCACAGTGCAATGAAGTTGACCCTACTGCCTGTAAATAACCTTTGAATTGTGCAATGTATATTGTCTTGTGTCTTCTTGGTAACATTTACAACATTGAAACATTGCTTTCACTTTAGCAGTTCTCTTTGCTATACTCTAGCTTCTATTTTCTTCTTCTTTCTTTTGTCAAAATCTGCTTGTGCCGCTAGGCGTCGCAGTCTATCAGATAATCAGCAACCGAGCCAGGGCGCGCTCAGTCGCTTCATATGCCGTGATGTTATGAAGTCTCAAGTTGTCCGTGACTCCTTTAATCCATCTTCTTCTTGGTCTTCCCCTGCCTCTTGGTGTTTCGATTTTCATGTTGTATGCTCTTGATGCTGGCATCGTTGGTTCCATTCTCATTAGGTGACCAAACCATTTCATTCTTTGCTTCTCAATAAATTTAACGATGGGTATGGTTCCAATAGTTCTTGTAATCACATCGTTTCTCACTCGATCTCTTCTGGTTTTATTCGCAGCCATTCTCAAACATCTCATTTCACAGGTGGTTAGTCTTCTCGCGTGTTCTTTTGTTAATGTCCAAGTCTGACATTGATAACCTAATGTCGGTATAAAGATTGTATTTATAATTTGTCTTTTTATCTCAGCTGGGACAGCAGGGTGTTTTAAAATTGGGGCAAGCTGGTATGCGACATTGTTGGCTTGTTGGATTCTTGCTTCGATCTCTCTGTCTATTTTACCATTGAATGTAAAGATACTTCCCAAGTTCTAGCTTCTATGGTTTCAAATAAATGTGCCACTTACAAACTAAGTGGGAATCCCCGTAGTATGGTGGCTAGTTGTTCGCCTGCGGATCTGAAGATCGTGGTTTAAAATCCGAACAGAGCCAGAATTTTTTTTTTTAAAACATGTCCTTAACTCCCAGGCTGACCGAGCTTCAAATGGGTACCAGAAAAAGTCCTGGGAAGTAAAGGTGGCTGACCACATCACACACCGAGTGCCGAATGGTCTACATAATATATGTCTAGCATTATATATACATAATAAGCCTGAAGGCGTTGAAAAGGGACCTTCACTTTACTACCAACTTAGTACATTATCAAAGACTCATCTGTCATTGGGACATTAGACATATGGTGCTGACCCCTATACTGACAGACCAAATAAAACTCAATGGTCAATATTTAGCTGGCCATGTCCTGGAACCCATTTCAGCGTGGTCAGCCTGGGAACACTAAGTAAATTATAAATCGGCCTCAATGCAAATTCAAACCCCACAAGCTCTGGGGTATCTATCCACAAACACAATCTAGTCACACCCTCTAATCAGCCACACACACAATCTAGTCACACCCTCTAATCAGTCACACACACAATCTAGTCACACCCTCTAATCAGCCACACCCACAATCTAGTCACACCCTCTAATCAGCCACACACACAATCTAGTCACACCCTCTAATCAGCCACACACACAACAAGTCACTCTCTAATCCCAGCCACACCACAATCTAGTCACACCCTCTAATCAGCCACCCACAATCTAGTCACACCCTCTAATCAGCCACACACACAATCTAGTCACACCTCTCTAATCTAGTCACACTAATCACACACACACAATCTAGTCACAACCTCTAATCAGCCACACACACAATCTAGTCACAACCTCTAATCAGCCACGCACACAATCTAGTCACACCCTCTAATCAGCCACACACACAATCTAGTCACAACCTCTAATCAGCCACACACACAATCTAGTCACACCCTCTAATCAGCCACACACACAATCTAGTCACACCCTCTAATCAGCCACACACACAATCTAGTCACACCCTCTAATCAGCCACACACACAATCTAGTCACAATCTCTAATCAGCCACACACACAATCTAGTCACACCCTCTAATCAGCCACACACACAATCTAGTCACACCCTCTAAATCAGCCACACACACAATCTAGTCACACCCTCTAATGAGCCACACCCACAATCTAGTCACACCCTCTAATCAGCCACACACACAATCTAATCACAATCTCTAATCAGCCACACAAACAATCTAGTCGCACCCTCTAATCAGTCACACACACAATCTAGTCACAACCTCTAATCAGCCACACACACAATCTAGTCACACCCTCTAATCAGCCACACACACAATCTAGTCACACCCTCTAATCAGCCACACCCACAATCTAGTCACACCCTCTATTCAGCCACACTCACTAACAAGCCGCACTCACAATATAGCCACACCCACAAACTAGCCACACCCATAATCTAGTCACACTAGCCACACACACTAACCAACCACACCTACAATCTAGACACACCCACTAACTAGTACTAGCGACACCCACTAACTAAAGAGGCACACTAACGAATGACCCACAAGTAATAACAGTTCAGTGTGGACTGCTTAAGGTGATCTCAGATGTGGCAAATTTCTGTTGTGAAGAACAATTTGTTTATCTCCTACAATTTTTCTTGCTTTAACTCTTATCTGGATAAGAGAAATTTCTGATAAGAAGAACCATTTCTTAGGTCTCCGGGGAGTTCTTCTTATTAGGTCTGCCCTGTACAATGTGTCATGAACTTGACACAAAAATTATCATACCGACCGTTTTTAGATCCACTGACAGTCATGAAAGTGTGGCCCACGTGAGCGGAGTAGTCGACTGCCAGGCCAACAGACAGGGTCAGCAGGATGCTGCTGGCTGTGTCTATGGTTACACCCCACATCTCCAGGGCTCCACCAACGTCAGCCTAGGACCATATCAAACATCAGTAAAACAGCAGTCAGCTTCTTTAACAGTAAGTAAATAATATAATCGGCCTGAATTCAGATTCAAATGGCAAAAGCTCTAGGCTGGCAGTCAAGTATCTAGCCACATCCACTAACCCACCACACCCACCGTGTAGTCACATCCAATAACTTTTATCGGTCATTTTTAGAAGTCACAGAAACTCACTGATGAATATTAGTTAAACAACTCATCTTGAAGAACATGTCAATATAGTCCTAAGTTATACAAATCACAAAAACTCTGTTGAATATTACTCGTCACAAAGAACATGTCAATATAGTCTCAACTTATAGAAACCTTTTGGAGGACATTGTAAATCCACTCCAGAACTTACTGTTTGTGGTTTCACTAATACAGAAAAACAAACTATATAAATCATTACCCAAAGCTGAGACCAGTGCAGAAATACAGACTTGAAAATTCATTACCCAAAGTTGACACCAATGCAGAAAAATAAAAAAACAACAAAACTAGATAATTCACTAATCACAATTCACACCAATACAAAGTAGATTATTCACTAATCACAGTTGACACCAATACGGAAGAACAAACTAGATATCACTTTTCAGTCAACACATCTCATGGGAGCTATGATGCTGTAACAGCAAGACACTCGCCTGTAGCCTAAAGATCTTGGATTCGATTCTGCATGTAGGCAAATATTTTTCCTCGGCTCCCTGGATGACCTAATCTAAAACGGTAACAGTCCCTGTATGGGTTCTGGGGCCCCATTGTGGCAAAACCAAGAATAGACCCACTACCTACCCAACAAGCATGTTGTAAGAGTCGACTAATTGGGGGCTTCCTTCAAAGTCGGAGTGCATCTGCCTGAGAAGTAAGGAACCAACAGTCTGCATACAGATAAGCCAGAACTTTTCCCTGGAGTTTAGAGCCGGTGAACAAAAAGAAGATATCATAACCGAACAGAACAGATGCAGGCAGCAGAAAACACTTACCATTGTAAATATTACACAGGCAAAGACCAGCAGGCTTGTCCACAAGTTGGCTATCAAGATCAGCGTGACCAGGAACACGGCCGCTGCAGACATTCCCAAGTTACGATACAACTCCTCCTGGAGGACCTGTTGTTGATTAGTTTTTTTTTTAAATATTCTTTTAAAGAAGTCACAGAAACTATTGATGAATATTAGTTTAACAACTCATCTTGAAGAACATGTTAATATAGCCCCGACTTAAAGAAATTACAGAAACTATCTGATGAATATTAGTTAAACAACTCATCTTGAAGAACATGTTAATATAGCCCCGACTTAAAGAAATTACAGAAACTATTGATGAATATTAGTTAAACAACTCATCTTGTAGAACGTGTCAAAATAGTACCTACTTATAGAAATTATTCAAACAACTTAGAGATGCTTATAAAAAAAAAATAATTGTAGGCACATCTTCTTTTTTCTTCTCCTGTGATTGAATAGTCCCAAAGATAAATTACACATTATGATTATCAAATCATAAATAAAAAACACTTAAAATAAATTAAACTGTACTCCTACAATTATGCACACCGAATACGTAACATATGCACTATTAAATGCACTCCCACACTCATTTACAAGTGATACATAAATGTTTAATATTAAATAATCAAAAAAAACTTACAAGCATAAATATCCAACACTAAAAAAAAATACTGTATATGCTAATTACAGCCCACATGGGTTGAACAGGGTATTTTTGTTTGAATGAATACTACTAAAATCAAGCGCACATGAAAACAAGGCCGTCATTCACCATAACTCTGGCATAATACAAGCACTTCACCTTGTTTGTCTCAAAAGTCATGTAGTCCCTAGAATAAGCAAAGCACATATACTCCGGCATGTCCTTGCCTCCAAACCTGGGCAACCCGGAGGTGTCTATGATGTCCCGTATGTTGTCCATAGACATGACGTCGTGGGCAGAGTCTGGCTGACGAGTATGTCTTAGGTTGATGTAAGAAGCCTGGAGGAAACAATGAGACATGGCTGATGAGTGTGTCTTAGGTTGATGTAAGAAGCCTGGAGGAAACAATGAGACATGGCTGACGGGTGTGTCTTAGGTTGATGTAAGAAGCCTGGAGGAAACAATGAGACATGGCTGACGAGTGTGTCTTAGGTTGATGTAAGAAGCCTGAAGGAAACAATGAGACATGGCTGACGAGTGTGTCTTAGGTTGATGTAAGAAGCCTGGAGGAAACAATGAGACCTGGCTGATGAGTGTGTCTTAGGTTGATGTAAGAAGCCTGAAGGAAACAATAAGACCTGGCTGATGAGTGTGTCTTAGGTTGATGTAAGAAGCCTGAAGGAAACAATGAGACCTGGCTGACGGGTGTGTCTTAGGTTGATGTAAGAAGCCTGAAGGAAACAATGAGACATGGCTGACGGGTGTGTCTTAGGTTGATGTAAGAAGCCTGGAGGAAACAATGAGACCTGGCTGACGGGTGTGTCTTAGGTTGATGTAAGAAGCCTGGAGGAAACAATGAGACCTGGCTGACGGGTGTGTCTTAGGTTGATGTAAGAAGCCTGGAGGAAACAATGAGACCTGGCTGACGGGTGTGTCTTAGGTTGATGTAAGAAGCCTGGAGGAAACAATGAGACCTGGCTGACGGGTGTGTCTTAGGTTGATGTAAGAAGCCTGGAGGAAACAATGAGACATGGCTGACGGGTGTGTCTTAGGTTGATGTAAGAAGCCTGGAGGAAACAATGAGACATGGCTGACGGGTGTGTCTTAGGTTGATGTAAGAAGCCTGGAGGAAACAATGAGACATGGCTGATGAGTGTGTCTTAGGTTGATGTAAGAAGCCTGGAGGAAACAATGAGACATGGCTGACGAGTATGTCTTAGGTTGATGTAAGAAGCCTGGAGGAAACAATGAGACATGGCTGATGAGTGTGTCTTAGGTTGATGTAAAAAGCCTGGAGGAAACAATGAGACATGGCTGGCGGGTGTGTCTTAGGTTGATGTAAGAAGCCTGGAGGAAACAATGAGACATGGCTGACGAGTGTGTCTTAGGTTGATGTAAGAAGCCTGGAGGAAACAATGAGACATGGCTGACGAGTGTGTCTTAGGTTGATGTAAGAAGCCTGGAGGAAACAATGAGACATGGCTGATGAGTGTGTCTTAGGTTAATGTAAGAAGCCTGGAGGAAACAATGAGACATGGCTGACATCATCAAGGAGCTGTGATAGATTTAAAAAAAAATATAAGATATTCATCAGCTTTACAGAATCAATAACAAAACAGAAGCAATGAAAGGGCAAGTAGCCTTCATCAGCAGAATGATCAGAAAGAAGATACATCCCCCCCCCCCCCCCCCCAAAAAAAAAACTGTCGTTGAAATGACCAGATTTAGAGTATTAAAATAGTGTGTATACAAATGAAACAATGTAATAATAAATGACAGAATGATATAAAGTACCATTCTCTTTTCATATGTTTACTGGTATTATTTCTGTAAAGATCATATTCTTTATATTTTTCTAATCATGTTTTTTTTTTTTTTACTTTTATAGTTTTACAACAATTAGTTCATTCAAATGGAGCTGTGAAAGTGAGCCTCTAAACATGAAATTTTTTTTAGCTTACTTTCATATCATGTAATTGTGACACTTTCATATCAGGAAATTGTGACATCTAACTTTCATATCATGGAATAGTGACACTTTCATATTAGGAAATTGTGACATCTAACTTTCATATCATGGAATAGTGACACTTTCATATCAGGAAATTGTGACATCTAACTTTCATATCATGGAATAGTGACACTTTCATATCAGGAAATTGTGACATCTAACTTTCATATCATGGAATAGTGACACTTTCATATCAGGAAATTGTGACATCTAACTTTCATATCATGGAATAGTGACACTTTCATATCAGGAAATTGTGACATCTAACTTTCATATCATGGAATAGTGACACTTTCATATCAGGAAATTGTGACATCTAACTTTCATATCATGGAATAGTGACACTTTCATATCAGGAAATTGTGACATCTAACTTTCATATCATGGAATAGTGACACTTTCATATCAGGAAATTGTGACATCTAACTTTCATATCATGGAATAGTGACACTTTCATATCAGGAAATTGTGACATCTAACTTTCATATCATGGAATAGTGACAGCAGTATGTTTTGTTCCAGCTGGTACCTTTCTTTTGAAGGAAACAAAGCAGGCCAAGAAGGGGATCATACATCATTGTAAACATGTGTTCATTTTGTGCTACCCAGGTATTGTGCTACATACAGAAGAAACTTTATTTCTGGTCTTTATTGTAGTTTCCCAGGCCTTCCTGTGGGAGCTGTCATGATGTAATGGTTAGATATTCATCTTTGGATCTAGAGGTAATAAATTTGAGTCCAAAAATGCCTGGACTTTAAAAACATTACTTGGTGGCCAGGTCAACCCAGCCTTAAGTGGGTATGAGGTGACATTCTGGGAAGTAAAGGTGGCCTTCGCGTTGTTGACCACATCACAGACCAAGTGCCGATTGATCTTTAAAATATAAGTCTAGCCCTATATGCCCAATATGCGGGACCTTTACGTACCTTCCTGTAGCACAATTTAAAACCGTCATGTAAAAACAGAGAGAAGGGTATCAGCTCAGCTGTACAAACTGGCAACTATGCAATCATATTTTGAGGGAAACTCGAGTGTTGTGGGTCCATCTGAAGTGCAGTTATGCCCCCTGATTACAAAACAGAAGCAACAGAAGATACTAACCAGCACGGAGACAGGCTCGCTGGTAGAGTTGAGCTTGATAAAGGAAGCAAATCTCTGCCCTGTGGGAGTCTGCAGAAATCTGTAAAGCCTGCTGTAAAACTGTGTCTCTGATGTTATATTCCAGCCTGTGATGAGATGCGACTACTTCAGCAAAACATATCAAAGTCAAGAGTAGGTCAAGATGGGAACTGCTGTATCGTAGTCACTAGATATTCACCTGCCGCTCCAAGCTCTGGGGTTCAAATCTGCACTGACACTAATTTTTTGGGTTTTAACTGACAGATCGACCCAGCCTAAAATAAGTACCAGGTAATCTTCATCGTCGTCTTCTTGTTCACTGGTTGCAAACTTCAGTAGAAAGTTGTGACTGTTTGTCCACTTCTGGACTTTAGTCTTGTCCCAGGACTTGAGTTTTGCATGCACATTTGTTTTACAGATGTGGCTTATTTGTGTGCTAACTGTTGGTTCCTTGCCTCTCAGGCAGATCCCCTCTGACTTTGAAGGAGATACCAGGTGATGTCCTGGAAGTAAAGGAGGATGACATTATGCTGACCACATCGCCCAGCGAGTGTTGAATGGTCTATATAAACATGAGTCTAGCAACATATACCCGGTGCATCATTGGAGTAAAAAAGCTCCTTCTTGTACTTACTATTACATAAGCTATACTCCTCTTCTTTAGCATAGCTTTGTTTGTTGATGCAAACACCAACTGAGCATCATTTGGTCTATCAGAAAATGCGGTGAATCTCTATGCCTTTCTAGTTCATCTTTTGTCCCAATGCTTATGTCACAAAGGGCTTTAGAGAGTTGTTAGATGTGCTTTTGTGTCTTTGCCACTTGTGTAGCTTGTGTTAATGTCATATTGTATTTCTGTAGTGTCTTTTTTACTTCCTCTGCCCATCTCTTTCTTGGTCAGCCTTGTAACCTGCTGTTTTTATGTAGTATGCTCTAGTGCTGGCTGATTTTGTTCCATTCTGCCCAGATGACCAAACTATTTGATTCTTGCATGCTCTATAAAATTGCCTATCATTGTTGTTAGTTTCTCATTGGTGACTCTCTTCTATGTTATAGCACAATATGCATCTCTGATGTAAAATGGGTCGTTTATATACTTATTACTTTCCTAAGAGTAGCTTTTAATTTTTAGAAAAGTAAACATTATGTTCTTATTACTTTCCTAAGAGTAGCTTTTAATTTTTAGAAAAGTGAACATTACATACTTATTACATTTCTAAGAGTAGCTTTTAACATTACAAAAAGTGAACTGTAGCTTTAAGCTTTAAATAAAATGTAAACATTACAATGTTACAGTCGGGGAAATGGTACGAAGAGATGGACAAGGAGAACCATTTATGAAGAAAACAACTAACTGGAACTACACACAGCAAGGTTATTTAATAATGTTAAGTATTATAGATTAATCTGGTTGACTCTGCCAACCTGAACAGCAAGATGATCAAGGTTATAATTGTTTGTTTATTTATAAGCCTATCACTTTGAGAAGGTTAAATCTAATCACTTTCGGTTTTGACACAACCCTGTGAATACTGACATATATTATTATTTCTGCAGTGACTTCGAATGACGTAGTTGTTGAATAAGCATTTTATTCAGCCGAACACGGGTATCAGGGACTTTTTCTGTTGACTCTTATCACAAATGTTGTATCAAACTTTCTGTGGGAGAATGCACAATTTAAATGGATTGTATCGGTTTATTCTGCAGGATTGAAACTGTCATTTATGTACTCGTGAGGCGTTTTTTCCTGATGAGGCTCTTGGTGGCTGATCACGAAGATTTGAGGCTGAGGCCTGGCATCTTCGGTGGCAGCTGTTGAATCGTGTGTGTGGGGAGGCTGGTCTGACGCAGAGTGCACAGTAAAGACACAGGACTCATCATTTGAGAAACCTACAGTGTGGAGATGACACTGCATACTGATCAAACATTTAGACTGATATGAGTTAGCTGGTTAGTCAACAGATCATCTCACAGCTGGTTAGTCAACAGATCATCTCACAGCTGGTTAGTCAACAGATCATCTCACAGCTGGTTAGTCAACAGATCATCTCACAGCTGGTTAGTCACAGATCATCTCACAGCTGGTTAGTCAACAGATCATCTCACAGCTGGTTAGTCAACAGATCATCTCACAGCTGGTTAGTCAACAGATCATCTCACAGCTGGTTAGTCAACAGATCATCTCACAGCTGGTTAGTCAACAGATCATCTCACAGCTGGTTAGTCAACAGATCATCCTGACTGTACATTCAACCATTCAGCGCTAAAGTGCTCAGATCTGCTCCTCAGTATGTCCCTCAATGTGCAGTGGTATTCTTCTAAAAAAACAAGTAAAGATCCTTTTTCACACATTTAGGCGCATCAGGCATATGGGAAGAGCACCCATATTTTTACAGACCAATCGGCACTAGGTGGGTAATGTGGTCAGCATTACGCCTGGGTATTTTCCTATCTGACTTCATTTTTTTTTTTAAAGATGAGGAAACATGCTATAAACTATGCCAGATACAAGAATTACAAATATGCCAAACCTGACTGCTGGGCTATAGTTGTGAAAGTCGTAATCCAAGAATTAATGGTTCCCTTTTGGACAAAGTGGCTCTGTGAGATTCTGGAATGCATTTCTTTCAAGTGGTCCCTCTCTTCGAAGTAATTGAAACCACCTGTAATTAGAACACAATTTTTAGTGTAAACTGTATCCTATAATATTGCACAGGCATTAACAGACAGATTGGGAACATTTTAGTGGCTCTAATAAACATCTTGGGAGGTGCAATGGCATAGTGGCTAGACTCATCTGCTGCCCTCAAGTTCTTGGGTTCGAATCCGCATTCAAATTTTATTATGTTTTTCAAAGTTTATTTTGCCTCCTAGGTCAACATAACCTAAAATGGGTAGCGGGTAAAGTCGTTGGAAGTAAAGGTGGCTGGTGTGATGTTGACCACGTCAACACTAGGTAATATAACAATATAACTGTGCTATATAAATAATTCATAAAAGCTATATAAATCCTATCTTAATATACGGAAGTGAATCAAGGACAGTTGGTAGATTATTGGAAAATTATATGAAAGCTGCGGAGACGTGGTTTTATAGACGAATTATGAGAATACCCTGGACAGATTTAAAAAAAAAAAAGAGTAATGAGGACGTCTTGAAATAAACTGACTCACGAAGAGAACTGATTGCCCACATCATCATGTCCCGATCCGAAGTTTGTACCTTTTTGATTTTTATCCTTCTCCTTAGGGTGTTCCTCTACAAAATGCAATCAATTAGTCGACTCTTACGACATGCTTTCGGGTAGGCAGTGGGTAGTGGGGGGGGGGGGGGGGGGGGGGGGGGAACCCAAACGATGAAATGATGTCCACATCATCATGGTCCAATCTGAAGTTTGGGGGGGGCAATCATGGGGGGGGGGGGGGGGGAGGGGGGCGGTGAAAAAGTGGGGGAGGGTTTCATTTGTCTGATCCACCCCTGGGGTAAAAATAGGGGTCTCTTACCCTTCCCCACCCCCTTTTTTATGATTGCAGTGCACATTACCACCAGTCTTGGTGTAGTAATTACTAATGCTCAAATTATCATTTCCTTGAAGGTTGAACAGGGAATCTGGGAGTTACTGTCTGGAATTGACATCAGAATAAATCTGCTTTAGTAGCAAGAGTGTTCAACCTCCAGATAGTAGTTGGAAGAGGGGAAAGATCACTCTGTCGCAACAGTTCGGAACTAGAAGTGTAACTAAATAAACTGTGCATAATGAGGGTAAAACTGTAGTTTATGTAAAGGTGACATCTTTTTTTCATTCTTTTTCTGTGTCATCCTTTCTCTTTCTGTCTCTATCTCTCATGTCACCACTGCATCTCTGTGTCTCTCTTTCTCTACCCATCTCTCTCTCTGTCTTTCTTTGTTACCCATTCTCTCTGTCTCTCACTATGTCTCTGTCTCTCTTTTTCTCTCTATAAGTCTTTTTATTTCTCTTTCTGTCTCATCTCTCTGTCACTGCCACTCTGTGTCTCTTCCTGTCTCCCTATCTACCTGTTGATCTCTCTTTTTATATTTTGATTACTCCACACATGGTAAACATTGCCCAACTTCTGTCCAATTCTTCTCTTCAAAGTTCATCTGTTCTACTGCAGCAGCCACTTCAACTCAATCTATTTTGTATCATTCTACAATTTTACTTCACTCAGACTCAACCCGCTTTTTGCTTCCCGTCCGTGCGTTGTTGATAAATACGCCGGTACCTGTCCTTGACATCCTTTTGAAGGAAGTTTTTTGCCAGAGACACAGGTGAGTATCATTTATTGTGTACATTAGTCCCATGTAGTCACTTCATAGTTAGAGCATATTTGTGTATGTGTACTTCTTCTTCTTCTTCGCGTTTACCAGCTGTACACACTGGCGGAAAGTTCTGGTTGTTCGTCCACTTCTGGACTGCAGTCCTGCTCCAGAACCTGAGTGTTGCGTGTGCATCAGTTTTACAGATCTGATTCACTTGAATGCAGACTGTTTGTTCCTTGCCTCTCATGCAGATGCACTCCGACTTCAAAGGAAGCTCCCAATTAGTCGTCTCTTACGACATGCTTTTGGGGAGGCAGTGGGTCTATTATTGTTTTCCCCACCATGGGGCCCCGGAACCCACACGGGGGTGTATGTGTACTGTATTGTTCTTTATGTGCTGATGAAGGCTAATCGCTGCAACGTCCTTTGTTTGTTTATTGTGATCAATTTTGTAAAGCTAACATAAACTGTTTGTTGTTTCTTACCAACTTTTTTTCTTCCCTTTAATTTTCTACTCCTTTTAAAAACTGAGACTCAAAGACTGTTGCTCTAAAGTTCATAAACTCTGAGATAGTTCACTGAGACTTGAAAACTTTGCTTTAAAATATACATAAACTCTGAGTTAGAAAGTGTTGAAGCAACAACTGTCTCGAATTGAAAGAGTTAACAAGTGATCATAAGATAACAAATGTTGAAGCCCTATGTTTCACAAGTAACATTCTTGTATACGATATTAATGACAGTAAATTTACTCACCACAATAGATGGTGGCATCTACTCCATCTCTATTAAAGTAAGACTGTTTTGTACGTGCATACGTATAAGCATACGAGGTCCTTGGTATGTAGTTTATCAGATCAAAATTCTGCTTCATCTGAACAAACCTCCAACATCCCAAAGCTGCTAAAGAAAATGTCACTGCAATGACAATGATCTGCAAAAATAAACAAGAAACAACTTTCAATAATTACTGATGGTATCTGTCATTAATATCATCATCATCATCATGTAGCAGGTTCTTTGGAGAACGTTGCTCTCATCACACCCTGCCAGATACAAACTCAGTCTCTCTCCGGATCTCACACTTCGAGGTGTCACTTTTATCCAGTGCTCATCTTTGGCTGGTCGGCCCCTGCCCTTCTTTACTAACATCATGCTTGCTGCTACTATTCTTTCCTGTCAACTGTGGCATTTGATAGGCCAAAATATTTCAGTTCCAAGACAAGAAGAAAAATTATATTTTTAATGGCATATTACATATAAATCTCACCTTTACTGGCAGCTTTGTTAAGAAAGGCCCATATAAGCTGCCAAAAACTATCTGCAGAAACGATTTCCCAGTGCCGCATCTGTTGGGTGTGTAGTTATCACTGTGTCTGTAACAGCACAGGCAGGCATCTCTGTGTGCTTGTCTCCGTCGTTCATCAAGGGCCAGAACCCCAGCAAACATGGTTGAAACCAGAACATACAGAACGAAGATACCCAGGGTGGCGTAGATGCAAAATGAGCTCAGGGCAGGGATTGTCTGTTGATGGAGATAAAAGGTATATGTTATAGACACAAGCACAGGTGTAGTTTTATGAGATAAAAGGTATATGTTTTAGACACAAGCACAGGTGTAGTTTTATGAGATAAAAGGTATATGTTATGGACACAAGCACAGGTATAGTTTTATGAGATAAAAGGTATATGTTGTGGACTCAAGCACAGGTATAGTTTTATGAGATAAAAGGTATATGTTATGGACACAAGCACAGGTATAGTTTTATGAGATAAAAGGTATATGTTATGGACACAAGCACAGGTGTAGCTTTATGAGATAAAAGGTCTTTGTTATAGACACAAACACAGGTGTAGTTTTATGAGATAAAAGGTATATGTTACACAAACACAGGTGTAGCTTTATGAGATAAAAGGTCTTTGTTATGGACTGAAGCACAGGTGTAGCTTTATGAGATAAAAGGTATATGTTATGGACTTAAGCACAGGTGTAGTTTTATGAGATAAAAGGTAAATGTTATGGACACAAGCACAGGTGTAGTTTTATGAGATAAAAGGTATATGTTAGGGACACAAACACAGGTGTAGTTTTATGAGATAAAAGGTATCTGTTATGGACACAAACACAGGTGTAGTTTATGAGATAAAAGGTATATGTTATAGACACAAGCACAGGTGTAGTTTTATGAGATAAAAGGTATATGTTATGGACACAAGCACAGGTATAGTTTTATGAGATAAAAGGTATATGTTATGGACACAAGCACAGGTGTAGTTTTATGAGATAAAAGGTATATGTTATAGACACAAGCACAGGTGTAGTTTTATGAGATAAAAGGTATATGTTATGGACACAAGCACAGGTGTAGGTGTATCTCTTTTGATTCAACACAGCTGCTAGATTAACCCTCTCTGCAGAAGTCACAAACTCATTCTTCTGCTTTTCCTTCTTCATAGTCACCATCTTTTAACTCTGAATGAAAGTCTAAGTTTTTCTTTCCCTTCTAGACTTTGGTCTTGTTCCTTCTCCATGTAGGTTTCAGAGTCCCATTTTGGGAAAAAAAAAGAAAAGACTCCTGCCTTCCAAACAAGCATGTCCTAGGAGTCGACTAATTAGGAACATTGTTCAAAGTTGGAGTACATCTGCCTGAGAGGCAAGTAGCCAAGAATCTGCACACAAATAGGTCAGTTCTGTAAATCGGATGTGCATGCAACTCTCATGTTCTGGAAAAAAGACTTAATTCCGGAGGTGGACGAACACCCAGAATTTTTCATTGGAGTTTTACAGCTGCTAAATGCAAAGAAGAAGAAGAAGAAAGTCTTCTTCTAAGACTTGAGTGTTGCAAGTACATCTGTTTTACAGTCCTGGCTTATTTGTGTGCGGGCTTTTGGTTCTTGACCTCTCAGGCAGAAACACTCTGACTTGAAGAAAACGTCTGTCTGTCTACAGTAGCCAGGCCAACTGTGGTTCAGCCCTCTCCATCCCAATAACTCCTAATCAACTCATTTACAACAAAATCACTTACTCTTGAAATAACATCATTATCATCAAGTTGTGCCTTGCCAGGTGGCATTGGTGTCCTGCATCAATTATGCTGATTGTATTTATTCCTGGCTGTACATGGCATTCACAGCATTTGCACCAGTGTTCTCTACCAGACAAGGATGCTCTCAGGCAATCATTAACATCATTCTCTGACTCTGATCAGTTTTGATTCATAAAATCTTGGAAACATTTTGTAGCACTTTTCCTTTTGCCTTCCACATCCACAATGGTTGATGTTACCTAAATTTTTTACAGTGATTTCTGACTAAAGCCAGTTCTACTCTGCTCAGCTGAAGATTTCTGACTGTCAGGACAAGAGATCTCTACTCTGCTCAGCTGAAGATTTCTGACTGTCAGGACAAGAGATCTCTACTCTGCTCAGGTGAAGATTTCTGACAGTCAGGACAAGCCATCTCTACTCTGCTCAGCTGAAGATTTCTGACTGTCAGGACAAGCAATCTCAACTCTGCTCAGCTGCATATTTGTCCATACATCCATGTAGATGTTCAGACTCCAGAACTGTATGTCTCTCAGAGATGTGTGTTGCCTGTCCTACCCTACATTGAGGTGCCGTTGGGAGGATTTCTTCATCAGTATAAGACCTAGATGGTCTTACTGGGTTAACTAGCTGATATAACGTGGATCATGGCTTATTTAGCAACAAAAGTTACACGGAAGTACTCAGCAAACTTATAACACTCACAGAATTGATCATCAAATCCATAAATGTACTCATCGCATTCATAAATCAGTCAATCAGGTGCCATCTCCACAAAAAAGGTTGGCTGCAATAGATTTACAACACACTTTGTTCCCCATCCTGATTGTACTCTCAGACTGATCTTCATCCCTCACTTTATGTTATTCTCCCACTTGTATCACCATCTACCTCTTGATTTCTTGCTTGAAATTGTTCCCTCATTATGTCTTTTAAATCATTGTTATCTTTTTAATGTGTTTGAAATATTTCACTCATCTCCTTTTTTTTTTTTGTAATGACAAAACTTAACAAAAACACTAAAATTCATAAAAGTACTTATCAACTTCACAAAGGCACTCATCAACTTCATAAAAGCACACAAAAACACTCATAAGCTTCCTAAAAACACTAAAAAACTTCACACAAACACTCAACAATTTCGGATAAAGACTTATCAACATCAGAAATGTGTTCAACAAACTCACAAAAGTAGTCCACAACTTTACAAATATGTTCAACAAACTCACAAAAGTAGACCACAACCTTATAAAAGTACCTATCAACTTCACAAATGTGCTCAACAAACTCACAAAAGTAGTCCTCAACTTCACAACAGAACTCATTAGCTTCACAAGAGTACTCATAAACTTCACAAATATGTTCAACAATTTCACAAAAGTGCCTTCAGTATCACAGAAAGTACTCACGGTGGTGGCACTGATTCCAAAAGCAACAACGTCAGTCAGGGAGGTCACAGTGACAGAAACCCCGGCTTTACTCAATGTAACAGCCAGTTTTTTGGGCACATCTAGTTTCACTTCCTCTGGAGTGAGATTCTTCCAGCTTTCAATGATTACAAACATGTCATCTACACCAATGCCTGCGTCGCACAAATGAAACAATATTTTATCTATCATTACCATTATCATCAACTGCCTTGCCAACTGGCATAAGTGACCATGCTTCTCAATAACCTGGGATCTCTAACAGCATGTATCAGTTCTTGTTCCGACATCCACCCCTCCATGACATGACAAAAGGCTGTCCAGAAACTGCTCATGTTATCTTCCTGTCCCTCTTTCCCCAGATCTAGCCAGTTATCATAACATGTTTTCCAGTTTCCCTCTTCTCATAAAATGGCCATTAAATGATGACTGTCTCCTTCTGAAGTTTGTGATAAGCTGTCTTTGGACCTTTGCCACTTTCAAAACATTTGGGTTACTCTTTGTGGCTGTCAAAGAAAATCTATTTACATTGTTGAACAAAATATGTATGTAAGATCATGAGGTGAAACATCTAGCACAAACACGGGTACACACTTCCAGTGTAAACAGTCCAGATGAACACAAATCTCAAACTAAATTAAACATAAATCCTACTTTTTAATCATAGAGACATATCTTTGTAAGATTAACAACAATTACATAAGATACATTTTCAAATAATACAAATATATGCATTAAAATTAAACCCCACACATTTTTCACAGTTGTTAGTACATTATTTGTATTCATGTTCATAAAACAAGAAAAAAAAAAAAAGGCAAAACAAGCAGACAGGAAGAAGAAAGGCTAAAAAAAAAGATCATGCAAGGCTAGTGAACAGGAAGAAAGGATGGAACAAATAAACATAAAAATAGGCAGAACAACTAAGTGATGTATTCCCATGTAGACCGTTACCCATCATTCTCTCTATATGCCCCAACCAATTAATATATTTTCTGAAACCCTTGTGGCCCACCCGGTATTCACATTCACTCTCTCGACATCAATGGTTATTCTAACTTCTCCTGTCCCACACAGAGCTACTATTTAATCTTCCCAGACACCTGTACATTTTCCATTTAAATAAAACATTCTTAGAATAGCTGGAGTTAAAGTGACATCTTCTTGACATCAACAGAGTTAAGCAATCAAAGATGAGAACAAGGGACTCACCCAGCAGCAGAAATGGCATTATGGACTGAATAGGACTGTAAATGACCCCAAAGCCTGTGGCTAAACCATACGCAGCCAAGATTGCCAGTCCAACACAAGCCATTCCAGTCAAAGACAGGTAGATCTGTGGACATATGCAGGCCAAGATGTATGATGCCCCTGTGTAGTCATTTATTTGATGCCTCCTCTTCTCACAGCTAGTCTCAAGCATTGCTATTTGTTTACAGGCCATTAACAGAAAGTTGTGCAGTCATTTACTTCAATACTAGGCTGTACTTAAATACTAGGCTGTACTTCAATACTAGGCTGTACTTACTTCAATACTAGGCTGTACTTCAATACTAGGCTGTACTTCAATACTAGGCTGTACTTCAATATGAGGTCATACTTCAATACTAGGCTGTACTTCAATATGAGGTCGTACTTCAATACTAGGCTGTACTTCAATATGAGGTCGTACTTCAATACTAGGCTGTACTTCAATACGAAGCTGTTCTTTAATACTAGGCTGTACTTCAATACTAGGCTGTACTGAAGAATTTAAAGTTAACTAAATACACAACAAATGAAACATAAATGAAAGAGGTAAGTGGAAGTTTAAAATTTATAAATTATTTTGAAGTCAAATATACAGTGAACTCACAGAAAATAATCATTACAGTTTAATAGCTCCATTGTGCAAGTTAACAATTTATAAATTATTCTAAAAATAAAAATATACAATGAAACACAGTGAACAAACAATACAGTTTAACCATGAAAATATCAGACTAAACAACCTAACATAAAATCTTGTACCACCTTCTGCTCCATCAATATGAACTTGTCCCATGACAACATGAGACTAAACAACAAAACATAAAATATATTAAACACAGGTACCCACCTTCTGCTCCATCAATATGAACTTGTCCCATGACAACATGAGACTAAACAACAAAACATAAAATACATTAAACACAGGTACCCACCTTCTGCTCCATCAAGTTGAACTTGCCCAGGGACATCAAGATGAATAAAAACACAATACTGAAGCCTGCAAAGAGCAGTTTGTAGTCACTGTTGATGGCACCGTACCCTTCATCATCAAAGCTGCAAGAAAATACAGATCAATGCGTAGCTGGTTGGGCAAATGTCAAGTTTCAATGACATTTACATATTACACATCAATGTGTAACTAGTTGGGCAAATGTCAAGTTTCCATGACATTTACATATTACACATTAATGTGTAACTGGTTCGGCAAATGTCAAGTTTTAATGACATTTACATATTACACATCAATGTGTAACTGCTTGGGTATATGACAAGTTTTAATGACTTTTACATATTACACATCAATGTGTAACTGCTTAGGCATATGTCAAGTTTTAATGACTTTTACATATTACACATCAATGTGTAACTGCTTAGGCATATGTCAAGTTTTAATGACTTTTACATATTACACATCAATGTGTAACTGCTTGGGCATATGTCAAGTTTTAATGACTTTTACATATTACACATCAATGTATAACTGGTTGGGCTTATGTCAAGTTTCCATGACATTTACATATTACACATTAATGTGTAACTGGTTCGGCAAATGTCAAGTTTTAATGACATTTACATATTACACATCAATGTGTAACTGCTTGGGTATATGACAAGTTTTAATGACTTTTACATATTACACATCAATGTGTAACTGCTTAGGCATATGTCAAGTTTTAATGACTTTTACATATTACACATCAATGTGTAACTGCTTGGGCATATGTCAAGTTCCAGTGACATTACATATTACACATTAATGTGTAACTGGTTGGGCTTATGTCAAATTTCAATGACATTTACATATTACACATTAATGTATAACTGGTTGGGCTTATGTCAAGTTTCAATGACATTTACATATAACACATTAATGTGTAACTGACTGGTTGTGCATATGTCAAGTTTCAATAACATTTACATATTACACATCAATGTGTAACTGCTTGGGCATATGTCAAGTTTTAATGACTTTTACATATTACACATCAATGTGTAACTGCTTGGGCATATGTCAAGTTTTAATGACATTTACATATTACATATCAATGTGTAACTGCTTGGGCTTATGTCAAATTTCAATGACACTTACATATTACACATTAATGTGTAACTGGTTGTGCATATGTCAAGTTTCAATAACATTTACATATTACACATCAATGTGTAACTGCTTGGGCATATGTCAAGTTTTGATGACTTTTACATATTACACATCAGTGTGTAACTGGTTGGGCATATGTCAAGTTTTAAGGATATTTACATATTACACATCAATGTGTAACTGCTTGGGCATATGTCAAGTTTTAATGACTTTTACATATTACACATCAATGTGTAACTGCTTGGGCATATGTCAAGTTTAACTGGTTGTGCCTATTTCATTACATATTACACATCAATTACTTTTACATATTACACATCAATGTGTAACTGGTTGGGCATATGTCAAGTGCCAATTACTTTTACATATTACACATCAATGTGTAACTGCTTGGGCATATGTCAAGTTTCAATTACTTTTACATATTACACATCAATGTGTAACTGGTTGGGCATATGTCAAGTGCCAATTACTTTTACATATTACACATCAATGTTTAAATGCTTGGGCATATGTCAAGTTTCAATGACTTTTACATATTACACATAAATACAACTGCGTGGGCATATGTAAAGTTTCAATGACATTTACACATTTCACATCAATGTGCAACTGTATGGGCTAATTTCAAGTGTTGGTGACACGTGTCTTGTCATTTTAAAAGGGCATAATCCCCCCCCTCCCAGTCCTTTTTTTTGGTTACATAATCTATCTTCCCAGTGTGGGTTCCGGGGCCCTATTAGAGGGAAAACAAGAATAGACCCACTGCCTACCCAAAAAAGCATGTCGTAAGAGTCGACTAACTCGGAGCTTCCTTTGAAGTTGGAGCGCATCTGATTGATAGGGAAGGAACCAATAGTCTGCATTAAAATATGTCATATCTGTAAAACGGATGCACATGCAACACTCAGGTTCTGGAACAGGACTACAATCCAGAAGTGGATGAACAACCAGAACTTTCGGCCAGAGTTTACAGTTGGTAAATGGAGAAAAAGAAGATCTAATCTATCTTCAGTGCACTTGTTACCAATACTGAACTCCCATCCCAATGTGGAACAACATTTTTTGGGGGTTTATTTTAAAGCCTTAACCCGACTGCCATCGGGGGGCCCTAAATATAAACTATGGGTTTGATGGGGTTTCTGGGGCTTGTCACCGCATGATTCTCGTCCAAACGTTTGCACTCTGTGCTGTCCTGGTGGGGTTGGATGTCAGGCAAAGAATAGTCAGGCTGTAATTTAACATGCATGTCATAAGAGGAGAACTAGGCAGGTTGGCATGAGACTGACTTCCTTATGAGGTTGAAAAGTTTAACTGCAAAATTTAAAAATTATGGACAAGTGTGCAAAGAGCTTTGTAATTCCAAAATACCTGTTTGGTTTCCAGCCATAAATTTGGCAGAAGACAGCTTTGTGTTTCATTTTGACATTGGTATGGAGTGCTGACCTTTCAGGGGGCAATGGCAAACTACCCGTAAAGTTACATATAAAAACCAAACAGTTAAAAAGTGCTGGGAAAAGTTCTGCAAGGCCCTGTATGGGATATGCAACTAGCTTTTAACTACAGAAGACATGGTTTCAATTAGTTGGTGTATCTTTATTTCACGAAAATAATGTCCACAGATAAAACTGGCTGTCACCCAAAAATAACAATAAATGATGAAGAAATTGAAAATGTCACAAACTTTGAATATCTAGGCTCTATAATAAACAGCAATGGAGACTGTTAAACAGAAATTAAAAGGAGGATGGCCTTGGCAATGCAAAGATTGAACAGCCATAAAAGTCTATGGTTAAACACCAGCAAGGAGATAAAAATTAGAATTTTGAGAGCATGCATCTTCCCTGTGGCTACATACGGATGTGAGTCGTGGACTATCTCTCAGTCCTTAAAAAAGAGAATAGGGGCTTTTGAGCTGAAATGCTATAGAAAGATTCTCAGAATATCTTGGACAAAGAAGAGATAAAATATTGACATCTTAAAAGATCTGAAAATCAAGGAAGATTGGCTAATAAACAGCATCCTTTCTTGGAAGCTGAAATATTTTGGTCATATCAAGCGCCACAACGGATTGGAAAAAACTATAGCAGAAGGCATGGTACCAGGAAGGAGGGGCAGGGGCTGACCGACACGAAGATGGGCACAGGATATAAGAGACTCCTTGAGTATGAAAGTATATGCGGCAGGAGAACTGGCGAGAGACCGAGTTTCTTACAGGCAGACTGTGATGAGAGCGACGTTCTGCAAAGGACCTGCTACATGATGATGATGATCTTTATTTCGGCAGAAAAAATAAGCACACATACATACACACACACACACACAAATCTACAACATGCAATTTTGTTGTTAATTAATAAATATTTTTTTTTTATTTTCAGTCAACTTCAACTCTTTATCGTCCCCCTGACCGTTTTTGTTTGGAGTAGGTACCTGCGAGAAGCATAGACGTAAGTGCCAGATATATTCTTGTGGCCTCCCAATGCCTTGTCAATCATTACCCTCTCAAATTCTGCTGCATCTGAATTCTGAAAAATAGAAAAACACATAAGCAGACTTAGCAAGAAGCATAAAATTCAACTATTATCACACTCTTGATGACACGGAGACAAATCTATCTATCTTCTTTTACCCCATCAGGACACCACACAAGCGATAAACACCCGATGACACAAAGTGCCACCATGTGGATGAGTATCGCCCATGGAGAGGTCCCAGAAACCGCATTCAGCCATTAGACCATATTTATGGCTTAGCTATATTGCGGCCCCTGGCAAGAACCAGAGTATGGCTTCAAATAATAAAAAATTGCATCCTCCAAAGGGATGGAAGTATGTATATACAATCTACAACCTAGAGAACAACTAAAACATTTACTTATCTATAAATTGCAAACCCTTTCAGTATTTCGTGTGTTTATTCAAAATGCAGTGTGAACTCTCCCAATTCTGAAACAAAACAAGGGTTAAATTTTCATTTGCTAGAATGACCACAATGTTTAATTTAAAAGTCACGTTGGTGGCCGATATTATTGTGCATTTCTTAATTTATTGCGACAATCAGTGAAAGTAAACCTTTGCTCCAGTTATATCCCTTTGAATAATTTGTTCCTTTTACTTCCGTTGAAAAAAAAAAACGGTACAATAATTTTCAACGACCACAAACATTGAAAATCCAAGAAACTTCAGTCTAGTTGACTATTGTAAGGTTAGTTAGTTAGTCTTTCCTCTTGTGTCGAGTGCGGCACATAGGGCAGAGGTCATGACTCTCCATGCATGGCGGTTCATTGCAATCTGTTGTAGGTCTTGGATGTTTGAGTGGGCCATGAGTGAGCCTTCCCTGATGATAGTTCTACGTAGGGTTTCCCTTGGTCTTCCACGAGATCTTTTCCCCTGTGGTGTCCAAATGAGGGCTTGGTAAGGAAGTCTTGATTTATCCATTCTAAGGGCGTGGCCGACATAGTTCCAGCGGCGTTTTCGTATAAAATTAGACACATACTCTTGCCTGGATTCTTGCCTTATTTGTGTATTGGTTCGGAAATCTGACCATTTGAAATTTAGTATTCTTCTAAGGCATTTATTTTCAAAACTCTAATTTTGTGTCTAGAGTTTTCGTTGATTTCCAGCTCTCGCATCCATAGGTTAGTACTGGAATCACACAAGAATTGATGATCTTGAGTTTTGTGTGTTTGCTAAGTGTCTTTGATTTCCAGATGTTGGACAGTTTATTGAAGGCACTAGATGCCAGTGCTATTCTAAATGGTATTTCTGGTGCGGTATCTCCTGTAGATGACATCTCTCTAGCTCGGCGCATATCGGTTGATCGACGGTCCGACAAGCTGTCATCGCAAACCACTAATTGTTGTAGAATCAGATTTCTGGCTCTAACTGCATGATGATTCGTTCTAATCTGTTAAATTCGAAGGACATCTTTAAAATTGGTTACTATTGTAAGGGGTATTTTGTATTATGTTGTTGTCAGCGTTTAAGACGTCATCTTCTCAGTTTTTTTACATCACCATTCTCAGTGTGCGTTTATTCTTAACCTGTTTTTTTAAGGGAAGCTTATTACTTTGTGCTTCATGACTTTGGCCTGATTTTTCTTCCTTGGCTTGTCAGTGTTGGTGTATGACAAGCAGGTCAGCGTTCGTTGCTTTTTTTGCAGCAGCATGGCATCGTGCATTTATTCATGCAGACACTGCTGCTCCAAGAATAATCTTTTGGTGCTGTTGCTAACCGGCAGTCATGATAGTTGGAGATGTAAAACAGACAGTTGCCTTTGAGAGTGTTTGAATTTGTACTTCAGGTATAAAGGATTCACTTATTTGCTTCATTGTTATTAAAATGTTACATCTGACAAGTTACGAAAAACTCTAGTACACCACAGTTGAAATAAACAGACAAAAAGAGAGGGGGGAAAACAAGAAAACAAGACATACGTTAAACACACAAATAGGGGCCCTATTTATGCAAATTTTAATAAAGTATTTTGTGGTATAAGCAAACAAACTATAAATACTCACATCCGATTCTTTCTTCAGTGCCCAAGTGATCTGCGTGGCCTCTGCAGCAAGCACCGTACCCTGAGCATCGTAGGTCAGTTCCCCACCAAGAAGTGTTTGGACACCAACTCCAGAAACTGGGCTTCAGAAACACAGGTAAATGTAAACAATTTGGTATCAAGTAAGACACAAGAATCACATGTAATGAAACAATTTTAAACACAGAGGACACAATAAACACATAATGAAACACATTTAAACAGGGAAGACACAAGAATCACATGCAGTGAAATAATTTTAAACCAGGAAGACAGGAAACAGATGTAATAAATAATTCTAAACACAGAAGACACAAAAAACACATTTAATAAACAATAACAGAAAAGACACAAGAAAAACATATATTGAAACAATTTTAAACAGGGAAGACACAAGAAACACATGAAATAATTTTAAACAGGGAAGACTCCAGAAACACATGTAATTAAACAATTTTAATCATTAAAGACGCCCGGCTCGCTAGTGTAGTTAGCTACAACAGACTACGCGGTGACCGAGTGAGGAACTCCTTGTGGTCCGGGCTCACGCCCAGGGGTAGGCAGAAGAGCCACATTTCTCCCAGATTTACGGTATCTATCATGGAATTAAGGCCGAAGGGTTGATATATCCTATAAATAATACTGAGCCTAAAGGTTAACAACTCATGGCTTCTAGATACTAAAAAAAAAAAAATCATTAAAGACACAGAAACGCATGTAGTTAACAAATTTAAACAGTAGAGACCTAAGAAACACATGCAGTTAACAATTTTAAACAGCGCAGACACACAAGTGAAAGATCCAGTAAACAACAACACATACCTACCTGACAACGGTTCTATTAACCATCGTTATTATGTCCAAGGCTGTCAGAGAACGAATGATGGTTTCATTGTACTGCCATAGCTCTAGCAGACAGGACACATAACAGAATGGACCAACTCTGAAATTTAACATTTACATATCTATCACACAACTTTTTTCTTCTTCATATGGATACACCCATGAAAAGGGCCGATGGTGCACTATGTTGTGGTATTCAGCTAGGCTGAAATATCTACACAATGCGGTCCAACACATACCATTTCAACAAAACCCCAATGAGTCGATTTTTTTTTTACAAATTGCCTGTTTGGAGCAGTGGGTCTATTATATTTTCCTGACAAAATGGGGCCCCGGAACCCACATGGTAAAGTCTGTAACAACAACACAAGCCTAGAAATGTCAGCACACGTAAGGTTTATTTCTTCTTCTGTCTTCGTTTGCCCTTAAAATATTGTGTTGTGATTTACAGCTAGAGTGCAATATCTACATCGTTCAGACACATTTGAATTCACTAAATCCTAAATTAACTTGCCTTTTTACGACACCCTTTTGTGGTTGGAGCGAGCGGCGGCGGGGGGCGGGGGGGGGGGGGGGGGGGGGGGGGGGGGGGGGCATGCGTCTGCTCTTGTTTTCCTCTAATTAAGACATAGATTCTGATGAAGAGGTTTATTATTATTACTTTAAAAACAAAAATTATCATTATTGAAATGATCTGTGCCATCTCAACAGTAAAGATTGACTTCCACTTTTCTTTGTGTATATTATGCACTTTAAGGCCTCAATCTCTTCCACAGTGTGAAGCTCGTACCGAAAAATCATGGGAACTGTTTTTTCCTCCATCTATCGCAGGGAACAAACCTTAGTACTCGTTCATCGTAAAATTGTTAACCGAATTCACATCTCTATGAATTAATGTATGGATAGAAGAAAGAAGAAGGTATGAAAGGAGTCAGACCAAAAACTTAGAATGTTATGATGCGTGTACGTGTCTAATTTGTAGTCCTTAAAAAATAAAGTTTGTTCGCTCATTCATAGTAGTAGTAGTAGTAAATTTTACCCCACTAGGACATCACACAAGCGATAAACACCCAATGACACAAAGTGCCACTATATGGATGAGGATCACCGGTGGAGAGGTCCCAGAAACCGCGTTCAGCCATTAGGCCATATTAATGGCCGGGCTATATTGCAGCCCCTGGCAAGAGCCAGGATGGGGCTTCAAAATAACGAAAAATTGCATCCAAGAATGATGTGATGAAGATTCCCACTCATTCATTTATTTCCTTTTAAGGCTAATGCCCCTGAAACCAACAGGTAGTAAGACATGCTTAAAAAAAAAATAAAAAGAACCCAATTGCATGGTATAAAAAATAATGTAAATGATCCCTTTTATGTCATAGATTTATGAGGTAAATGATGCTGGTTCCATTATTGTTTTAGAACAATCGGAGTTAAATGGGTGATGTGGTCTAATTTCTTTTTCTTGGCTTACTGTTTGCCATAGTAGCCGATTATCTCCCATTCTGCAGACACGTCAAAACCAAAACTATCAGTGATCTATATGAGGGACTGACTGACTTTCTACCCCCACCAGGACATCACACAAGTGATAAACACCCGATGACGCAATGTGCCACAATGTGTGTGAGGATCACCGTGGAGAGGTCCCAGAAATTGCATTCAGCCATTAGGCCGTATTAATGGCCAGGCTTTATTGCGGCCCCTGGCAAGACCCAGAGTAGGGCTTCAAATAACAAAATATTTCGTCCTAATAAGGACGGGAACTGTAATTATCTCCCATTCTGCAGACACGTCAAAACCAAAACAGTCAGTGATCCAGACGAGTTTGTGAAGCCTAGATATCAAGAACATGGTGTGTTGCCAGGCTGCAGTCTTTTATAGTTTGTTTACTAAATGTTTCTGATATAGAAACAAAGTGTAGTCACTGTCCCCAGCCATACCTTTTCATCAGACCGCTACTGCTGCCATCGGAATTAAAACTCTGTGTTTGCTGCTGAAGATGGGGATGGAGTGCTTTTGGGAGTGTCCCCCAGGGCGGTGTAGATTCTTAACTCAACATTCAACATTTATCGTTTACCTGACACACATGTCCATAAAACTTCTGCCGTTGACGCGTATGTTGACTGACTCCATATAATAGTCCATCATCTGAAATCAGTCAAAACCCTGATAACAAATATACCAAAGGAAAGCAAAATGGTAAACAGTGATACAAGTGGGAAAGTGACACCAAGAGGGATGCAGAGGTGCTATGTACCGTGTACCACACACACAGTGGTGCACCAGGGATTGGGTTTATACTGGTCAACATCTGCCTATACCTCTCATCCTACAGACAGTTCTCAATCGGAAGCCTGCCTGGTAGTGTAGATAGGATGACCGTTTCCTTCACAGGCACAGTTCATCTGCCTATGCGGTGAAGAACCAACAGCCTGCACAATAATATGCCAGATCTGTAAAGCAGATTTGCACGCAGTTCTCAAGTCCTGGGACAAAGAACATGTCCAGAACTTGGACAATAAACAGACAAGTGGAAAATCAAATGGAGTCGTTAGAATTGTGGACATGCAGAAGAAAAAATCGTATATCATGAAAAACAAAAACCAGTCATGTAAAGAGGTTATGAAAAGACTGCGAATGAAACGAGGATTACTGAATGGAATAAAAAAAATGAAGAGACAGTTGAAATATTTTGGCCACATTAAAAATATAATAGGCTTTTAAAAACCACACTGGAGAGAAAAGTCGAGGTCAAGTGAGCAACGATACAAGAGGGAGGGCAACATCAAGAGATGGACAAACAGCTGTTTGAGAGAGTGTTGAACCAGGGCAAGAGGTAGAACGTGTTGGAGATCAAAAGCAGCCATCCTTCAGTGTGCAGACGGCACCTAATTGAATCGTGAAGCGGACGAACAACCAGGTCTTGCTGATTGAAATAGCCGGTGAACAAAAACCCGAAGTGAAACACCAAGAAACAAGCAACAGTTGGTCAGAAGGCGCAGCCAAGCTGAGAGACAACAAATGCTGAATGTTTACTGCATCGTGGGATGAAGTAGCTTAGACTTTACAATGTCTGCCTCTAAATTGAGCAAACCTGCTTCGGTTCACGGCGATAACTGGATGTTTACAAAAATATGCCATCCCTACCCACACCCTACCAAAACTCCACCCTTTCCACGGCCTACGGACTATGAAGTAGTAAACCAATCTACACCCTTCAGTCACAAGTGAAGATCCATGTCTTCTTTTGCCTCTTCAGCATTTCGAACCTTGAAGTTTTTTGCTGCAGAAATCACCCGCCTTCATTCATATCCGTTACTGGCCTTCTGTTTCCAACTGGTGACACCAAGTGTTTGGATATTATCTGTCCGCTGTCCTCTTGATCTGCCTCATGGTCTACTGCTTCTCTACAGTTGTTGTGAAGATTCACATGCATGATTACAAGTCCCCCAACAGCTGGAAATCATACACGGTCGGCCAAGTAGGCTACTGCACAAGCTGAATTTCAGTTCTCAAATATTTAAAAAAATTGTTTTTCTTAACTCATTCAGTACGAAAAAAAACCTTCACCAAACATTTCTTGGTTATTTAAAAGATAACCTGATGTTCTATGTATCTTCTGTCATAGACAGTTGATATATATATATGTTCTATTTGTATCTTTATTATATTAAAAATATAAATAATACAAATAAAAAATAAATAAAGTAAAATATTTGGCACATCATGTGAAGAACTGGTCAGATAATCAGCAGACAGGCACTGAAATAGCTAACAAATGAGTTCAGAAAACTAGGACGTCAAAGAGAAACCCTAAAGGGAGCGTTGTTGTAAAGAGGCCAAAGCTGCTGGACTCGTTTACATCAATGATAGTGAAAAGATTGTATAGGACTGCGCAAAATGGAGGAATAGACTGCAGCCGTATGTGATGGATAACTGCAAGACAAGGTGGTGAGAATATTTGAATGTTCAGTTTAACAACGTCTGCCGCCCCATCTGGTCTCTTTTAGACTCTTTTAGACCAAAATATTGATTGCTTTTAGGCTCATCTTGTTCGGATAGAAGGCGCTAAAGATATAACTGCTTGGGACTGGCAGAGAAAACAAAGACAGGGGGATCTGACAGTGCCAGGGATATTGTGTTCGAATCCTCGCCGAAGTAGGAACCTGTGAGCCCTGTGTGATATATAAAGGCACCATAGGACATGATTGAATCTTATCCCAACTGTTACTGTAACTCATGTTGTTCTAACGTGTTATTATTTGAAACTTCTCAGACTCAGACATAGTATGCTTTAGGAAATTAATGTTTAGGATAGAAGAAGTTAGTTTGACACTTTCCTGGTGCTGAAAGAGTTACATCCGTGGGCTCAAGGCTCACATGTCCTCCTTCTTACAGCCCCTGCCGTGTGGCGTTGATAGGTTGATAGTCATGTCTATCCACAACCTTCTGTCTTATGTACTTTCAATCAGTTCTGACGTAGATGATCTTCTGTGCAATGATGTCAAACTGTCCAGCATTTTCTTTCTCTGTCTTCCTCTGCCCCCCCCCCCCCTCCTCCTCCCAGCTTTGCCCCCTTCAAGGTGTAGTTCACGCGTCTCTTTCACACGACATGACCGATGAATGTAGATTGTCTCCTCCTGTCGGTAGTCAGTTTCTCTGTTCTGCGCCGTTCTAAAAAGTGCTGCTATTGGCAGTTAAAAACATAACCCCAAAGACTTGTATTTAACCTGACAAAACACAGACAAAAATGCACAAGCTCTTACAGCATTGAGAGAATCCGGGCTTAAAATATTGCCTTCTGGCTGGACAGCAAGAAACGAAACAAAGCGAGTCTCCTGTGGGAATGTCCTGTCAACCCAAGCCTTCTCAGGGATCAGTCGCGATGTCTGAGGTACCCACAGTTTTTCTTGCTCCTCCGTCTCATGAAAAGTTTTCATGCCGAGCCCACACAGCCCACACATTATCACCATAGTGACAATGGTGACGATGGGAAACTCTCCGACAAACAGGCCAACTCTGAAGGGAAAAAACATTAATTCAGTGACTACCAGGTAATCCACAATAAGATTATTAGTTTTAACCAACATTTCTTCTTCTTCATCATCATCATTATCATCATCACCTTCTTCTTCTTCCTTATCTTCTTCTTCTTCTTCTTCTTTTTCTTCTTCTTCTTCTTCTTCTTCTTCTTCTTCTTCTTCTTCTTCTTCTTCTTCTTCTTCTTCTTCTTCTTCTTCTTCTTCTTCTTCTTCTTCTTCTTCTTTTTCTGCTGCTTCTTCTTCTTCTTCTTCTTCTTCTTCTTCTTCTTCTTCTTCTTCTTCTTCTTCTTCTTCTTCTTCTTCTTCTTCTTCTTCTTCTTCTTCTTCTTCTTCTTCTTCTTCTTCTTCTTCTTCTTCTTCTTCTTCTTTCTTCTTCTTCTTCTTCTTCTTCTTCTTCTTCTTCTTCTTCTTCTTCTTCTTCTTCTTCTTCTTCTTCTTCTTCTTCTTCTTCTTCTCTTCTTCTTCTTCTTCTTCTTCTTCTTCTTCTTCTTCTTCTTCTTCTTCTTCTTCTTCTTCTTCTTCTTCTTCTTCTTCTTCTTCTTCTTCTTCTTCTTCTTCTTCTTCTTCTTCTTCTTCTTCTTCTTCTTCTTCTTCTTCTTCTTCTTCTTCTTCTTCTTCTTCTTCTTCTTCTTCTTCTTCTTCTTCTTCTTCTTCTTCTTCTTCTTCTTCTTCTTCTTCTTCTTCTTCTTCTTCTTCTTCTTCTTCTTCTTCTTCTTCTTCTTCTTCTTCTTCTTCTTCTTCTTCTTCTTCTTCTTCTTCTTCTTCTTCTTCTTCTTCTTCTTCTTCTTCTTCTTCTTCTTCTTCTTCTTCTTCTTCTTCTTCTTCTTCTTCTTCTTCTTCTTCTTCTTCTTCTTCTTCTTCTTCTTCTTCTTCTTCTTCTTCTTCTTCTTCTTCTTCTTCTTCTTCTTCTTCTTCTTCTTCTTCTTCTTCTTCTTCTTCTTCTTCTTCTTCTTCTTCTTCTTCTTCTTCTTCTTCTTCTTCTTTCTTCTTCTTCTTCTTCTCTTCTTCTTCTTCTTCTTCTTCTTCTCTCTTCTTCTTCTTCTTCTTCTTCTTCTTCTTCTTCTTCTTCTTCTTCTTCTTCTTCTTCTTCTTCTTCTTCTTCTTCTTCTTCTTCTTCTTCTTCTTCTTCTTCTTCTTCTTCTTCTTTCTTCTTCTTCTTCTTCTTCTTCTTCTTCTTCTTCTTCTTCTTCTTCTTCTTCTTCTTCTTCTTCTTCTTCTTCTTCGTTGTCTTCTTTATATCTTCCTCCGATTGCCTCATTGTGGTGTTGGGAAAAAAGGGGGGGGGGGGGGCAGCCAGGGGGAATTCTCCTGTGTTCTTTCGGTGTTGCATAAGTTGACCTTCATTACTTTGAAGTTAGTCTTGGTGCTACCATTCCATGTCTGACGTTTATGAAACCCTTGTCTTTTAACTAGCTGATCTTTTCACCCCAGTTCTTATTTTCACTGGTCCTATCTTACAGTGCTTCCATTTTAACTCCCTAGACCAAAGATACTGACTGCTTTTTTTTAAAGCAATAACTAAGTCAAAGTAACATCTGCATAGTTTTGAAAGAGTTAATACATATAAGCATAACACACAATTGGAAAATAAAATTTAGCAGTGGAGTAACACGCTTTCCTGCCAGCCTGGTGGTCATGAGTTCAAATCCTGTTGACAGGGAAGTAAATTCTTCAAATAAAATCTTACAGCCAGGTTGTGACAGTTTCTGTGACGTTTCTTCTTATGTCTTCTTAATGCTGTTATTGTTTCTTCTTATTCTTTTCAAACGGCGACTGGTACCATCGGAATTGGAACCTTGTGATGGCTGCTGAAGATGAGGACAGAGCACTCATGGGAACATCTCAAGTGTAGGGATACTGGTTTTGTACTCAATCAACGCATTCTTCTTAATGTCCTCATATTTTTCCTCCTTCATCTTATCCTTGAAACTTTCCATGAACATTCCTCTCTGTCCACCTCTGCTCTCTTACCTTATATTTTCCCAAGTTAATTTCACAATTACAAGTCGTCTGTTTATCTGCCCCTTAATGATGAAACATAAACCCACCAGGAGTCATTAACCTTTTTCTTTTTGATGTTACCGACTAAAACTGGCAGAACATCATGGTTGTTCGCCCACTTCTCAAAATTAGTCTTGTTCTAGAACTTGAATGTTGCGTGCACATCTGTTTTACATATCTGGCTTATATGTATGTAGACTGTTGGTTACTTGCTCATCAGACAGAAGCACTGACCGCATAGGAACCATCAATCCCATAAATGTTGGCCCCTGGATGTGAACCTGTTTCTACGATGACTACGGAGAGCTGCAGACAAGTTTGTGCCCGTGTTCTGCAGAACCACCCTGTATTGTTCCGCATCTGTGCATCCCAATCAAGTAGGGAACACATGTTTACTGCGATGATATGTCAGTGCTATATCTAACAAGAACAAACATCACATTTATGTAGTGAACATAGGTCTACTGTGTTGATAAGTCTGTGCTCTATCCAGAAATCAGTTACTGTATTTTCGATTTTATTAGGAGTACGTAAAATATTAGTCAAACAAAGATCAAAGAAACTCGCTGCTTTAAGAAAACAGCAACACCTATGCAATTGTAAATTTTAAAATTATAAGGACATGGGAACTCTACAGATACATGTTATCCGTACAGGAATTTTTTTTACATAATTTGTTCAAGCGGGAGGGAAAGAGTATGGAAACGCGCTATGCCACCTACTTCAAGCACAGCTACTGAGAGAGTCAAAAGTGCTCCTTCTTATCTGAAGAGCGATGTCGATGAATCAAATTTTTGCCAAGTTGTCTAGGGCAGATGTGGCAAATCAGCAACTCGAAATCTCATTCAGTAATCGTGATAACATCGGGGAAGGGGAGGGGGTGGAGTCTCAATGAAATAATTCAATAATTTTTAAGAGCGACGGATAAGAGAGTGATAGAGATAGATAGATAGATAAAGAGAGAGAGAGAGAGAGAGAGAGAGAGAGAGAGAGAGAGAGAGAGAGAGAGAGAGAGAGAGAGAGAGAGAGAGAGATGTGAAAGTACTGAGTATTTTCGAAATACTTCATGTCGACCAAAACCCAGAACAGCCAGAGAATGGCTTTCTTGTGGCAAAAGGGTGAAGTATCTTTCATGGAAAACGTCGAAAGCACACACGGGGCAAAAAATGTGTTTCTCTAACCAGGTCACTGATTTTGTTACTGCCATCATTGGTAAGTGTACACACGATGAGACAGTCTACGATTACATCATTTCCACTCACTTAAAGAATGCAGTCTCCAAAACCCAAGCTATGCCAGAACTAACTCTTGACAAACAGTCAGATAAGCTTTTAGTGTGTACAGTCTTCGAGCACTTTCTTCCATCTCCTGCAGTATCTGGCGCAACATCTTTCTCAGCTACAACAGCAACAACTTTCTCAGCCACAGCATCTTCCCTAAGATGACTGGAACAAACACTGGTCCCGTCGTGCTTTTGCGTCATTGGTTTGACTAAATGCTTTCTGTCTTTGTTTAAATTGTAACTGGTTGATCCATTACTGACATCCATTCTTGAAAACTAGTCTTGAGAGATAAACTCTTCTCTACACAGTGCGGACCATCACTGAAATGATAAATTACCGCTAAGAAACGTCTGCATTATGGCTGGGAGAAACAATAGTAGATATCAGACTCTACATAAGACTATTTTGCTTAGTATAAAGATAGTGAACAGGCAAACAAGACTGAAATTATATTTGGTTTAAAATCTCAGTGTAGTTAGCTACTTCCCAATGCGATGTGTACCATCATCGAACTGATCAGATACAGATCAGGCAAGTCAAGTATATTGTTGGGTGAAGCAACAGTAGATATCAGACTCTACAGAAAACTGTGTTGCATGACCCAAAGTCCGTTAGGTGAACAAAAAAAAAACAAAAAAAAATACTTGAATAATGTTTCAGCTTATTAGCTCCATGATGTTAGCTGTACTCGGGACATTCTCGCACTTGCTCCGTCCCCGTCTTCAGTAGCCAACGAAGAGTTGACATGCTAATAGTACCAGTTATAACCTGATTAAAAGTGTGCCTGTTTCCTCTTCAATGTTAAATATTTTCCAGAACCTACACCCCCCCCCCCCCCAACACCTCCCCCCCTAAACCACCCCCCCCTTAAACCACCCCCCCCCTAAACCTCCCCCCCCAGGTTGAATTAGTCGTTTAATGTGTGGATTTTCTATCTGTTCTATTGCACTTTTTGATTCCACAGTCCTCACCACATCCACCTTATCATAAGTAGCTCATCACTCAGACGAGCGGTAGCAGCTTATTTATCGGCAGGCTTGTTACCTCGCAGACCTGAATGTCGTGGATAGAACAGCCATGACACGCTTCTGATCTGGGTCTTATTAAGAGATACAAGCCACTCCGCGCGCTGGACGACAGTCAATTTTTCGAAGCATTCTCTGTAAATATCATCACTAAAGCTATCGAATACAGTTCAGACAAGTCTACTTCATCATAATCATCACCATCATGTGCCCTGCCAACTGGCGTGGGCGCTCATGCGTCTTCACAAACCACGATCCCTGGTTGCCTAGAACATCTCTCTTGGTGATATCCCTCCATGCCATCGTTTCAGCCCATCCAGCATCATCTCTCTTGTTCTGCCTCTATCCCTTTTTTTCCCCACTGATCTTTCCAGTTGTCACGATGTTCTCCAGTGTTTTTCTTCTCATTATGTTGCCAAAGAACAGTGAGTCAGCCAGTGAGTCATTCAGTTAGTCAATCAGTCAGTCAGTTAGTTAGTCAGTGAGTGAGTGAGTCAGTCAGTCAGTCAATCAGCAAGTCCTTTACAGAGCGTCGTTCTCTTTACAGCACGCCTGAATGTCTCTCTTTTTCTAGCCAGTTTTAGACAACCCTATGTGCTTTCATAGCCAATGCCTCTTTAATGTCCTGTACCCACAGTGGAGGTCAGCCTCTGCCTGGTTGACCCCCTCCCCTCAATCACCGTTCTCTCCAGACCATCATGTATATCGACATGCCCAAGATACCTCAGCTCTTGGGAGTGGATGCTGTTTATGAGCCAGTTTTCCTTGATGTTCAGTTCTTGCAGGATGTTGAAGTTTTTCTTTCTTCTTGGTTCACGGTATTCTAAGAATTTTTCTGTAGCATTTTAGTTCAAAAACTCTTTATATATATATATATATATATATATATATATATATATATATATATATATATATATATATATATATATAAAATATATTTTATACGTATAAAACAGATTGAGCAGGTAAAGATGACTAAAAGAAACCCTAAGATGAATGTTGATGACAGAAGCTAAAGATGCTGGATTGCATCCTGAAATCACTGCATACGATAGAGTAGAATAGAAGAGCAGATTTATATCCCTATGTGACTCATAATGGCACATAGAGATAATGATGGCACATAGAGATAATGGCACATAGAGATAATGGCACATAGAGATGATGGCACATAGAGATAATGGCACATAGAGATAATGGCACATAGAGATAATGGCACATAGAGATGATGGCACATAGAGATGATGGCACATAGAGATGATGGCACATAGAGATGATGGCACATAGAGATGATGGCACATAGAGATAATGGCACATAGAGATAATGGCACATAGAGATGATGATCGTCATCAAAACAAGGTGGGTAGTCCATCACATGACGGGCCATGAAGTAATTTGATTCTTTTCTTTTGCTTAGTTTTGTTTGTTTTGCAAAATCTCCATTCACCTGTGTGTCTAACAGTTTTGGAATGTTTTCTTTTCTACGTCCCAGCTGTCATCACATTCCACAAAATTAAGTCAGCTAATGCCAAAATGTAAGCTGATATATAGATTAGCCTAACGGCGCTGCCCATGCAGAATTTGGAGTTTAAAAAAATATACCAAAATTATTTTAGAATCCTCGCCGATGCTCCGGAGTTCGTGCACTGCGCTGAGATTCTTCGCACTTAGGCTTGAGTTAGAAGTAGAACGGAGCGCTTATGGGTTACTACGCGTGTGCCATGATGTTGATCCGTTGTTCAAACCAAAGACATCTACACGGAGTGTGGTCTTAAAAGTTTCAATTTCCGCTGCCAGTTTATCGTTGGTGCATGCCAATCTGTCATGCGCGAATAGTGATCTTATCAGGGCACGTTAATACGGAACCGATACAAACATGTCAAAGGTTTATGAATTGGCCAGCCCATATTTCTTTTCGGTGCACTGATATTTTAATATTCCGAAGAAACAAGATGAAACGAAGCTCTGCTAGAAGAAAAACAATACTGGCAAGAACTGGCAGTTGCAATGCTAGCTCTGCGAATGGCTTGGGAAAGAAAACACAGATGGTGAGATAAAAATGAACTATTAGAGATAAGAAAAAATAATATGAGGAAGAAAGTCAGGAATCTGCAACAGACTGCAAAAGATGGGACGACTTGGCGTAAGTGGACAAATGAAGGCACGCACCAGTGAAGAAAACAGATGGAAGAGGAAGAATTACGTTATTTAATTAATACAACAGATTCCGTATTTGCGAGTGTATAGGCCGCACCAAGTTTCTGAGACGATAATTTTAGAAAAAAATAAAAATTGTTTCTTAGAATTTCGTCATGAGATCAAAACCGAAGCAGTATTACATTTAAAAAGACGATGGCACTGGATTGGACACACACTGAGAAAACAGGAGAACAGCATAACCAGAATGTCTTTGCATTGGAACCGACAAGGGCATAGGAATAAAGGAAGGCTAAAAGACACATGGAGGTGGAGGCGGTCACTGAAGCTTTCCGCTGGCTAGAGAACACGACACACACACACACACATCGTGATTGTAACTGATATAGAAAGCATGCTGAGGAAGATCAGAACAGGTATGCTTTGTGCAGAGTGGCATGATTCGCTGCGGAGGACACAGGTGATGAGTATTGTCTGGATTTTTTCACCGGGGTACGCCGGTGTATTGGGAAATGAACAGGCGGACAGACTGGCTGGCTCTGCACAACTTGGTGGAATACTGATACATGATAAGGCAGACGTGGTTAGTGGGAGAGCCTGTACAGTTCGGAGGAGCAGATGGATCACCACAGTCTGGTGAGATTGATGCAGCGGGGAGAGACGCGAAGAAGAAGAAAAAGAAGAAGTGAACGGTATGAATTTCTCAGTCTGAATTTAAATCCAGTTATGGCGGGGCAAGCTCTTTATGGCACGAAATGACTTCGTGATTTGGCGATGACGAAGAGACTTTCCGATTCCAACCAGCAAAAACTGTCTGCTTTTCAAAAAACATGTTATGAATTTACCAAAGACAGACACCTAGCTACAGCACAGGTACAAATCGAAATGCCGATGAAACTTCTATTTTCCTCGATATGCCACGTGAAACAACAGTGAACAAAGATGGTAGGAAAGAAAACAGTGCACATGCACACTTCAGGATCAGAAATACAGCGCTGTACCGTAATGTTAGGTATCACAACTGACTGACACAAACTTCGACATTACGTCGTTTTTAAATGTAGTTCCTTGCCTGAGGAGAAGCCGGAATATTGGTGAGAGTGCAAGAGAAATTTTGGATGACTGAATAAATGTTGTATTGTTTATTAATACATTTGGTACCAGTGACATGGACGCCTAATATCCCTAACATAAATCGCTCTCTGTATTTTACCCATCTATTATAATCTTTATAGTCTTCCCTTTGTGAGATGCAATTTTTCGCTATTTGAAGCCCTACTCTGGCTCTTGCCAGGGTCCGAAATATAGCCCGACCATAAATATGGTCTAATAGCTGAACGCGGTTTCTCCGACTCTCCAAGGGCGATCCTCATCCACATGGTGGCACTTTGTGTCATCGGGTGTTTATTGCTTGTGTGATGTCCTACTGGGGTAAAATCTACTACTACTTCTAATTTCACCCACCATTTTCTGGTCAAATACCTGCGGCAATTCTGTATGTCAACTTTTCAATATTCTAAAAGGGTTTCAGCAACTAAATCTAAAAATTTTACAATATAAAAAAAATTATTTCGTAAACAAGAAATCTTACCTATATATATAAGAGGTGTAAAAATAACCCGACTGATACAGAAATCATTCAGTTAGCGACACCTACCAAAAGAGCAGAAAGATAAACTGGGACCAACAGATTTATATCAACTCAAACAGACAGTAAACATTGGCTTCACCTGTGCCAAGACTATCAGTGTCACGTGACTTCTGAAACTGTTTACATGTTAAACTGTTCATAGATACAGATCTTTCAGTAAGTAGGTCAAAGATAATTTCAAGTTGGAGTAGCAGAAGGATAAAGCAGCTTTAAGGATAGTAAATATTGGACCCTTTTCAACGCCTTCAAGCGTATTAGGCATATAGGGCTAGATATATTGTTTACTGACCATTCGGCCATTTGGTAGGTGATGTGGTCGATAGCACGCCGACCGTCTTTACTTTCCATGAATTTATCTGGTACCCA